GAATTTATTATATAATGTTTTTTTTTGTTAGATAAATACTATTATAAGGGGAAAAGAAAAAAGGTGATAAAAGCAATAATCATAATTCTACTGTTATTTGTTAAGGGATAGAACTATTAATTCTTACCAAAAGCCTTTCTTTTTCTTTAATGTTGTTTTAAGATCAATCGCTGAGCTTAAATATATAGACAAACGAAGAATAAAAGACAGTGATTGTACCCCTGAGCCAAGACGATCTATGGTATTATTTCGTTAAAAATTATGACCATGTCACCTTGGATTAACCAAATTGCTCATACTGTCTGTGGTCGTGCATACCAAGTAGATGAGTAGGCGCCTAACAGCTGCCTTTTACCAAATAATTCATTAGATAATCTTACATTTTTATATTTTGCTCTCTTCCGTTTCTCCTTATCTTCCTTTTTCCTCATCATCTTCTTCATCAGTCTAGTCGTGTTGATCTCTTTTAATTTCCATCGAAAAAACAGCATTTGCCCAATTTTTTTCCCTTCCAAAAATATCTGGATATTGTAGCAGGTGTTTGCTATTTATTATAAGTAAAAAGCAAATAAATACTCTTGAGGTGATAAATGTCGAAGTGGTCAGCTTAGGACCAAATTTCACACCCTCTTGCCCCAATCCTACTCTCTCGTTCCAATTTTGTAAACCTATCTTTAGACCATAAATCATGATTTGTACTAGCTTAAAAACTATAAATATGAGTATCTTAATAAGAATTATATATATGCAGTATGCTATAAATACTGAATATATATATATATATATATATATATATATGGATAGATAGATAGATAGAGAGCTAGAAAGACAGAGAGAAAGAAAGATAGGAAGAGATTTTCCAAAGAAAACGTTTCAATAAAAAAGCACGCTAAATACGAATACGTTGTACAGCATTAATTTTGATCCAGACGGTGTTAAAGGTTGATCTGATAAATTCTTCAAGTCTTTTCCTATTTCTTAACAGCGTCTAATTCGATGCTGCATAGTTTTTAGGGTGAAATGGGTGAAGGGGGTGGAAGAAAAAACCGGAAAAATTTACAATAAACGACTGATTAGTGGTAATAAAAAAGAATTATAGCAAGTAACTAAATTCTGAGTGTAAATACCACATTCACCGAAAAGATACATAGGCAAGTAATCTTCGAGTAGGTAAGTCGTAAAAAGTCTACTACTGTAAACTCCAAATATAGTATATTGTATACTATATCAAGTAAAGTATTTAGAAGCAGACATGTCGCATATTGTAAATTACCATAGAAAAATATAGAGAATTTATTGATATTAAGTGAGGTTGTAAAGTAAAATATGGTAATGGAAGGAAAAGAGATTTGTATAAATACAATATGGTGTATGCGTATACATTTGTACATAAAGTATACTATAAATTTTACAGTTTAGAAGCGGAAAGTTCATAAGACAACACATTTATTGAGTACATTGCAAGGTTTGCAAAAAAAAACTACAGGGTATGTTTTATGCGTAAAAGTAGAGTTTCTACAAGAGAAGAGATGTATATAATATCTATAGTGTATAATAGTACTAAGGTAAAGTTAATAATAATAATTTTATCTATTATTATTACCATTATTCCCATTATATACGATATACCGTATAGTATATATTACAGCAAGTATATACATATATCATCATATACAAGATACAGTATAATATATATATATATTATAAGCGCAATATATATCTTTATATGTATATACTGTATATATATAAAGAGTATAGTTTTAGTCATAAATTTCTTCATCTTTACTGCTGATATCCCCTCCGACAACTGCAAAAACTATTAACTTAAGTAAAAGTATGAAACATTCTATCAACTTCTTTTTTTACGAATGATATTCGTTGCATTTAATGCATTCTATTTATGAGCATCCCTTGCCGCAACCCTGCACTCTAATATCTCTATAATATACACTTTGTTAGTATTATATCTGTACAGCTGCTGTCATTTATCACTGTCCCCATTATATTCTGGAGAATCGATAGCTCGTTTACGCAAACTTTCCAACCTTCTGCTTTTTCAAATACGACCTAATCTAACAATTATAATCGTGTAACGGCATTCGTTTTCTATTTACTCAATAAATAAAGGCAAGTTTTTCTAAGACAAATCTTTTCCTTGACGTCAGCAGTTGAATTTATTCCTATACCATTAGGAAAATTATGGTTAACATCTTAAAAAAATCCCCGAACGTGACCACAGTCTATTTCCAAGTTCTATCTAATGAACATACTATGCGCCATCTTAAGGCCTATTAGAAATTTTTGATGATGCTTGAGTATATTAGCAAAATATTTAAGGGATGGAAAGAAAAGCTAGAGAGAAAAAGGGAGAAGAGAAAAAAATCTAGGTTTTACCCTGGAAGAAAAAGGAGAAGATATATTTATAAAATTCAATATATACCAATATATATGTATAGTATATTCAGATTATCAACAAATGATATTACTACAAGTTCATTAATGTTAAATTGCATAGTATTTATCCACAATATACGCTTTCTTATATCATATATATAGATATATATATTGATATACAATTGTATATTAAATTATTCTATATATCTATCTATTTGCAAACTTAGCTTTAATACCGACTAAGTTGTATTAATGGGTTGATCTCATCTTCTAATAAAGAAGAGCATAGGAGATTCAATGATATGCATCCAACCGGAAGGATGAAATAAACACAAATAATCTGCTATTCGTTTAACGTATGATATTGAAATGCACTGATGCAGACATACATTTATATATATATATATATATATATATATATGAACAGTATATTCACGTATATATAACTACTGTTAAGCTGTTTGTCAAGGGAAAAACATATAGCTATAGCTTCTCACTTTATTCTCTTTACTTTCACTATTATTATTATACTGCATTTTTTAATTGAATTCTTATCCTCTTTCTTTCATCCTTACAGTTGCAGTAGTTGTCGCCTTCTTTATTTGCTGGGCTCCCTTTCATACTCAAAGATTGCTGGCTATTTATGTCAGTAATGAAAACATTTCTGAAAAATATAGCATATTCAACGACATCCTTTTCTATACTTCTGGTATTCTGTATTACGTCTCATCTACAGTCAACCCTATTCTTTATAATCTCATGTCGAAGAAATATAGGGAAGCGTTCAAAGAGACTTTGTGCCGGTGTTGCTATAGTCGGCCTACGGATTCGGCAATGATTGGTGATCGTAGGTCTGTTACTTACTCTACTTGCGCTATTAGTAGGCATGGTGCTCCCAATCACCTTATTAGAAATCCCGAGGCGGAGAATCTAGTTCATTTGAATGACAATTGCAAAAAATCCTGGTCAGTTTGGAAATATAAATTAAAAAAAGGAAATCCTAACAACAAGATGTATCTTATGCCTGTAAATACTGGACTGAATGGAAGCTTTAGTGGTCTTAGCGGGGCTAGTAGTCGGTCCATATCTAGGTCAAATTCGGGGAAATTCGATACAGAGGACAACGTTTAATCACGATACTTGTCGAATCGATCAGCCTTTTCAGACATCTTTGTATGCTTTTATGAAAGAAAAACAATGTCTTAAAAAAAATCTATAAAGGCTTAAAATAATAGCAACAACAACAACAAATGCAAAAACAACAGAAACAAGTAAAGAGAATAAAATTGGAGGGAGAAAAAGAAAGAAATTGAACGTCTTAAAGATTGGATCTTTTGTCGCTGCCCAAATATCTATTAACCTTTCACGAATTCTTGACATTTCCCTCGTCTACAAACTGTCTGCTGATGGGGATAAAAAATTTATTCCATTCAGGAAAAAAACGAAAATAAGTAATCAAGATAAAAACAGATAAATCAAAAAATACAGTGAGATATGAAATTGAAAAAAAGTCATCTTTAAGAAAATAACTCTGTTTAGCAAAAAGAAACTAATAGTAATCTATTAATAAAATAAGTTATTGAAATAGCATATTTTTTCACATCGAATACTAGGGCGAGGAGGAGATGAAGGTGGAAACTGCTGCAAACATGATCTATATTAATATAATCATATATACATAGTATATACGTATTTATATATATATATATATATATAAATATATATATTAACATTTATATATAATACGTATGACAAACAGTATTTAAATATTCTCATCATTTGTTCTAGGAAGAAAAAAGACTTAATTCTATAAAAGAATATGATGAAAATTTCCATACAAACTACTCTTCAAAGAAGATTCTATGCCTTAAATAAAAATACAAAAAGCAAAATTACACATATCATTTTGACTATCGAATGTAAACAAATAAACAAAGTTTATACAGCATAGAAAATAATATAAATACTTTTTACAGTAATTACTTCACATGTCAACTAATATAAACTCATTTTTGCTTTCTTCTTCATTCAACTTTTTACATTGTTATGGTTGTAGATTTAATGAGAAAGTAAAACGAAGTATTATATGCAATTTCTCGTATAATCTCTCTCTCTCTCTCTCTCTCTCTTTCTCTTCCTCTCTCTTCTCTATTTCTGTTTTGGCTGATATATATCTGCAGCAGTATTGTACAGTTCAAGTTTTTAAATAAAAGTCTAAATGATTGTGTTCTTTTGTTACACCTGTTTTTTTACACTGTTCCTCCTTTATCCTATATGAATTTATTTCTGTTCTTTCCTTCTCTACTCTTCTCTTGTCTTTCTCTCACACTTGCGGTCGAATGAAAAGTGTACTCTTCTTTAATTGGCTAATAGTATGTACTTATCTGAATACCTTTATATTTAAAAATATGACAACATCGAAAAATTTGCTATTATACTCTTTTCATTTTTATTTACGTTCAATTGATAAGTAGTGTAATAAAAGAATTATCAATATACATTTTTATGAAGACACTAGATGTCGCCACTGATGCCCTTAGTTATAGAATGTTTTGGTGAAATGTTAACCTATTCAATACGAAGGTATTTTATGACTGGTCATGTTCATATGAGTCCTACAGGCGGCGTTAGTTGTGAAAGAAAAAATGGTCGGTTGTTAAAATCTCTTTTCTTGTTGGAAATTTAATGAACCCCTATAAAAATGGCAACGGCTAAAGAGGAAAAATTTTCTAAAGATGTTTATCAGATATTTTTAATTGTTTTAACTAACGATAGAAATCAATTAGAGAAATACCTTAACTACTGGACAACTGATTATACAAGATCTATACTTAGTGAAGAAGTACGTCTGCTTACTCTAAAAGACTCTTTGCTGAAAGGAAGTGAAATTGTACTAAAGCTGCAAACATGTAACATTGAATCGTTAACTTCTACTCATTTAGCTGCTTATAAAGGTAAAAATTAATCTGTAGGAGAATGAAAAGTGAGAGAGAAAAATCGATTTTTTTCACTTTAAATGTAATACTGATCATATAGTGATTTAGACAAAAACCAATCTTTCACTGCGTAGTAGATAAAGAGTAATTGAATCCTTTTTGTTCAATATATTAAGTAATAGTATATTACCTTAGAAATAGATGCAATCTATATTTTCCCCCATTCATTAATAAACAAATGTGTGTATACTCCATATAGATTTTTTTAGGTATATGCAATATAAATAAGCAATATCAAGTATAATAAGAGATTTCATTCATAAAAAGTTCTGTTTTAAAATACTATGTCAAGGTTCAGTTTTATTGTTGTTATTGTAGTTTGTTTATTGAATTTAAATTTTTCATTTCATCACCTACACCCTCCCCCTCTTCCCTTGCATATCTCTATCCTTCTCCATCTCCCGTTGTACTGTCAGTAGCGTTGTTATAACAAATAACTACATGTTCCATTATTAATTAGACAAATCAATCAAATACAAATAACCTGTATTTTTATTTCTATTTCTCTCTTGAGGCTACGATGATCTACTTACAACACTTCTTACTAACGATGAAGCTCTGCTGAATATCAGATTGAAAAATTCTGATATTGGTTTACTTCATCTTGCTTCATTCGGTGGTCATATTAGCACTGTAGTTCTTCTTGTTGAAGTCTTTCAAGTAGACATAGAGGATAGGGATAAATGTGGATGGCGACCTCTTCATTTTGCTAGTTGCGGAGGACATTTTCAACTAGTCAAAACACTTGTTAGTGAAAAAGGAGCGATATGTGACGCTAGAGATGAAGATGGGGCAACAGCGGCATTTCGCGCATTAGTCAATGGTTTTGGAACAATAGCGAATTTTTTAACAGACCGACAGAATGTACCAGACGTTCTCATTGAAGCTGAATTGAACGAAAGGACATTAGAAAAGAGTCGAAGAGCATCCGAGCCGAGTTATCGAGCGTTCAGTAAAAAAGATAGGTATAATCTCTAATAGAAATTTATATTGTGTTATTGAAATAGCTATTTGTTTTATATTATATTACATTTCCTTTTCATTATAATCAAATCTCTCCTTTCTGTAATGTATTATATATATATATATATAGTATGCTTTATATATATATAAATACATATACAGTATATATATATATATATATATGTATACTGTATATATATATAATACTGTCAATTAGGCGAACTGGACACTCTTCAGCAATGTCTAAGTAAGATGCTGTTCACTAATTATAAGGTGGAATTACCTAATAATAAAAGAATTTGTATTTTAGAAAGGTAAAAATGGTAGGTAAAATATAAATTGATTGGAAAATTTTAAACGTTAGGCAGACTACTGTCTTAATAACTGTTCCATCTTTAGATAGAGCTTCAGCTGACAATACTAATATTGTAGGCATTATAACCAAAAAAAATAGAGGATAAAACTAAAGTGGGGAATAAGAGAACTTACACTGACAACGAAGTAATTCCCTTGGAAACAAAGTTTTTACGATTGTCAGATGCGAAAGAAGAGATATTTTCACTACTGAAAATATCAAACTTAAGTGGCTTGGTAAGTGGGCAAGGTGTTTCAAAGTGCCTTTGCACAGGTAGTTACAAAGATTCCCAGTGCATGTGTACATGATAAATGTATTACTATTTATTGCAACAATAGCTAAACATGTAGTAAAGAATAACGTAGACATTTTAGATTTCTTACCTTTTAATACACTATCGATATTATTCATTTTCACCTAAAATCTCAGGTTTTCCATGTTGTAGAAGGGCAATTTCACCTTTTAAATATTCAACAGTTTGTTACCTGGGCATTGTCACGGAATGGCCAGTTTCACTATTTAATATGCTGAGTATATGCTGTATTGTATACCATCTATTCTCTTCATTTTCATAGACAAATCAGTACGAGCCCGGAATTCTCAAAATCGGCAAAATATCGTACTGTTAGACAATTAATCAGAGATGAAGTAAGGAATTTGAAATTAAAGGAACAAGGACAAGGCGAAGAAAAAGAAGAAACCTACTCAGAGCCGATTAATGAGATGCTTTTGGAAAATGTAGGGGAAAATACTCTCAAAGAAATAGTCCAGCATGAAATAAAAAATATTAATGACGACACAAACGACGATCCCATATATGCCTCAATTGATGAAGATTTACTATCGACGGGTCCTGTAAATATCGCTCCTCCCGTTCCACCACGAAGAAATTCCTCAAAAACAAGTATGGAAGAAAGCGAAGATGAGCTTCCAATTTTATTAACTGAATCAATGAAATTTCCTACAATGAGGTCAAATTGTGAATCGTTGCAAGCATGTATTCAACGTCTAAGTCGTAATTTAGGTGACCAGTGGCGTCATTTGGCAAGAGCCCTTCCCATCGAAAAAGGGGGTACGAACAAAGTAAATAACCGGATTAAGGCCATAGAAAGAAAATACCCGGATAACGAAGTTAAGCAGGCCGAATCTGCTTTGGCAGAATGGAGAATAAATGCCGGTAGAAGTGCATCTACTGAAGTCTTGATAGATGCGTTGGAAACAGCTAAATTAGACAAATATCTACCTATTATTTATGAAACATTATGCGAAGATTATCCTTAGTGATTTTTCTTTAATAAAAATTCATTTGAAGTTAGATAGAGTGAAAAATTCTTTGCTCATTTAAATATGAATATCTGTCCCAAAACCCGGACAAAAATTTGACAAAATGAAACAATATACAGTCACAATTAATAGTGTTTTAAAGATTTCGCTTAAATAAAAATAAAGATTTAATTTTAGTGAGGAGACTATCTTTTTTTCTTTTAATATCATTCTGTTTAGTTTCACATTTATATCAATAATTCAATTTATTCATTTCATTTGATGGAAAATCCCATATACGTCTTAATGTCAATTAAGGACAAAATAATATCATTTGCAGTCTTGGAGACGTCCAGGTATGTAAAGTAGGTGTATTTACCAAGTCTATAAGGTACTTACAGATGCGTGTTTGCATGATTCTATACAAAACTTCCGTCTTGACTGCTTAGGACTACAAACTAGGATATAAAAATAGAACTTTAATTGAAAGTTTATCGCAGGAGCAACGACAGTAAGGTTTAAACAATATAGAATATAATTTCTATATTATAAACTGCACGAGAATATTATATTGCTTAAGTAGAGGCAATAAAATTCTACGTACTTTATCATTTAGAAGAGTTTCTTTTCATTTTTCACCACCATCCCAATTACCATCAATTTTTTTTACTTCCATTTTATGATAGAATGCATTTTACTCTCCTCCTTTATTTATCATAAAAATAGAGAGAAGAGTCAATTAGTCTAAAATACCGTCTACGTGGGGCTGAAACTATCTATTAGAATAATGAATAGAACTAATTCGGAAAAAATAGAGTATATGAAAGCTATGAGTTTACCTGGACAAAGGAGCTCATTGGTTGATTGGCGCACGTACTCAGAAGCGAGTTATTGTCACGGACAATTAGGAAATAAAAACAAATAATGGATAGAAAAAGAAACTTTCTTTTTAACTTTTTTCTTCTTCCTTTCTCTCTCTCTCTCTCTCTCTCTCTCTTTATCTATCCAGCTATTTATCTGTTTTTGCTTTCCATTTGGCAAAATAATCCTTGAGAAAACTTTTTTACCCATTTAGACGTTGGACAGTTTCCAGTTAAAAGTACCGTTGAATAGGCCTTCTGAAATAAAGTGAAAAGAAACTAAGTAGCATATAGTTAAAGAGGGAGAACGAGAGAGTGTATATGAGAGAAGAGTATTCTTTAACGGAGGAAATATACAAAAAAAAATCAATGGAATCCTAATTTACGGCCGAACACAAAACAAATCGAATGTCAAGTCAATGAAAAACGCCTCTAAAAATTTTTTCAATCCATAAAAATCGACCTATATTCCCGTCAATCAACAAATATAAAGAAGTAGGCGCCATCTAGTCTTGGTTTTTTCTCTTATTTAGCCCGCTTCCGTGCAGTCGAAAAAACTGCAGGGGGCTTTGCACAGATCGATGGATTAAATCTTTGCACGAACGCCAATCAGAAGAGGAAAGCGAAAGAGAAATTCGCGCTAGGTGGCGTATCGAAAGCATAAGCCACTTTATATAAACTGGAGACGGCGGTGAAAGGGGTAAAGTTTTGAAAAGAAAAATAAAGAGTAAACCTTGGCCGACGATGTAAATAAAATATATCATTGGAATAAAGAATCTCTGTAAGCCTGCAGTTATGGAATATTTTACAAATTTCTTTAGAGGAGATGAAGAAGATAGAAAGACACCAAGTCCATCTCATACGAAAACTTCTACACCTAAAAATACGAAAAATCGCAAGTAAGCTTTTCTTTTCTAATGCTTGATATTCATCAAAGTCACTTTTCATCTCCCTATTTCCGGATGTTCGCTGTAAATATATCGATAGACAGCCATGCGACCTTTTTAAGAATGTTCGGTGACTCGACTTGTGACTAGAAATCCCTAAGCTTTAACGCTTTTCGTGAAGTTCATTCCGCGTCATGTCAAAGGCTCTAATTGAAATTAATTTCTCTAGGCTTTTCACTATCCGAAAAAACCGATCAAAGGCATTATAGGTCTAATTACATAAACTAGATAGTAGCTGTTAGGATTCTGTCTGTTGATAATAGTTATAAAGAGAGGTTAGCAAGGAAAAGCAGAAAGAGAGAGAGAGAGAGAGAATGAGTGAGAGACTGAGTGAGAGAGTGAGATGACTGGAGAGTAAAGGAAGCGTTTTTTGTTTCTTTAACTCTAACACTTCCTACGGAATATCAAAGATATTTTTAAATAATTCTTAAAATGAGCAATTATGTAAAAAAACTGCGTTACTAAAACATACTTTAATAGTAATAAATCTTGTTTACATCAAACGTTATTAGATTTCTCCTTTCTTTTACTACCAAATAGGTATGAAAATGAGATAAGATAAACATGATAAAATAGCAAATAAAAAAATAAAAGAGTGGCAAAGAAAGAGACGGCCTTGTTTAAAGGGAAAAGAAAGAAGCGAACGAAAGAGAAATGCGTCTTTAATCGGGGAATAAGCTATTGCATAACAAAAAAAAATGAGAAAATTCATTTTGAATATTTATGAGTTAGATTAAGGGAGAAAAAAAATGACATAAAGATAATAACCACAAGCGTACGATATGAAATAATTATAGTTTGCTCCTTTTTATTACTTTAGTCGTAATACTGGAAAATTAAGATGAAAACGTCGTTTTATTCTCTACGTTGCAGAGATGGCTTTCTTTACTATTTTAACAAAGAAATATTTAGTGGCTGAATACTTTATTTTGTTGCTTTTTAGGATTCCTTTTTGCCTGAAGATGCAAACAACTTAAGTGTTATCCTTAATTAAACAAACAAAGCTCTTTGTCCCCGTAGTTCTGGTCGGAGGGAAAAAAATCTATATTGTCTCTCTTACATCGCTTATAGTGAGAGACGTGTTAGGCTCAAAATCGACAAAGTCGCTTGCTTCACGCCCGATTGGAATCTTATTAATCTCTGATAATCAATGGAGCGTGTGTGCGTCGAGAATTTGAATATTTTTAACTTTGCCAGATAGTTAAATAAATGATTATAGAGTCAATTAGCACCGTAATTTCGGTAAATATTAAAAATGGCGGATAGTAAATATGACCAATAGGTATGAAAATTTTTAGGTATATTTTATATAAATAGAGAGAATGCTTTACCGTTTGTTCGGCCGGAACAGCCGGATTAAAGTAATATAGTGACATATGTACGATATGCATATATACTATATATGTAATATCTATTTATATAGTATTTATGGTTTATATATATATGTTAATTATCTATCTATATATATCATATAGTCCAGTGTTTATAAATAAATATATTTATATTCTAACGATTTCTCAATATAACTAAATCTAAATTCATAAAAACGTTCTCATCTCTCTTAGATATTAGTTGACTGTATGTACTTTTATATAAAATATTTAAAGACCATCAATAGCTACGATACAGCTATTAACATGAGGAACAGACGAAAAATACAGCTAACTAAGACCTTTTCAAAAAGACTCTGCTGTACAATTACCAGAGGCGATAGACTATGAAGCAAGAATATAATTTTCTAGACCTTAGTTTGTACTAGACAACCTACTGTACGATCTTAAAGGACGGAAGAGAAAAATCTCGTTCTCTTTTCTTTTAAGTACGCACTTATTTAATTCGACTTTGCAGTCGAATATGTAAATTAAGAACATATGTCGAGGAAAGTAATTATCATACGAATTATCCACCTTGGGTTGTCATCTTTTATACGATGTAAATTGAGAGTTTTCTATTCCTTTTTTATACACAACTCCTTAAAATAACTCAAAACCAGAAAAAAAGAACTTTATTATTATCCAATTATTATTTTCTATCCATTTTATATTCTCATCTCGCTTAGTCTTTCCTTTTCTCTCTCTCTCTCTCTCTCTCCCACTCTCCTTCTTTCTTTCTTTTTTCTTTCATTCCTTCTTTATTTCTTTCTTTCGTTCTTTTTTTCTTCCTTTCGCTTTCTCTTTTTTTTTCCCAATAAAAAAATTTTTGTTAAAAAAAGAAACTTAATGAAATTCCTGTTTGGTAATTGGTTGTTAACAAATGGAACGACAACTTTCATACCTTGCGCAATTTATTTCTAATTACCATTTCTTTCCCTCACTAATTATTCCATTAACAAAAAAAGGAAATAATGCTACCAGTGTTTATAACAAATCGTTTATTTTATTCTCTTACGGTGATTCTCCCTCTCCTATGTGTAAATGGGAAAGATTGAGAGAGAGAGAGAGAGAGAGAGAAGGGAGGGGAGAGACAGATAGATAGAAAGTGAGTGAGAGCGAATATAAACTTATAATTGTGAAAAATCGATAAGTAAGAAGGAAGTAAAAGCAGGCGGAACGAAAGATGATAAGAGAATTAAAAGACATCGTTTCAGTCAATGTTCTTTACTCAATATAGAATGTAGAAAAAAGTCAATTTTCTACAATAAATTTGCAGCATATATATATATATAATATAAAAGTAAAAATAAAGAGCAATTTACATTTGCCCTTGAAATTATACTTAACGAAAAAAATCTATAGTACAGAAAAAAAGTTAGGAGAGAGTTGAGGGAGATATTTATATATTCAAACATAAATATCTTTCTCTATTGTCTACTAATATCTCTACTTAAAGTATAATCAAAGATTAAAGAGAAAATATTTTGTTATTAAAAGAAAATAAATAAATAAGTAATGGACTTTTTTTAGTTTTATTCATCAATAATAAGAATATCTTTAGCTTGTTCGACTTAGTTCTGCTTATAATTTTTCTCCTCTTTTACAACTATTTTGATTGATGATGTGTAGGCTTAAAAGGGAGTCTATTTGACGGGAAAGAAGTAGGAAACCCAATCAGGACGACACCGCAATAAGAAAAGTCTACTATAAAGCGGTTATACTGTTTCCTTTTTATGTTCTGTATAAGACTACTACTACTAATAATAAAAGTATTAATCAAAATATATATTTACAATGAAAATATTAAACAATACCATATATCAATGTAAGCTCTCCGTCTAAAACATTCTGCCAACAGCAATAATCGTCTAAACGATACCGCTGCATCATCGACGTCTATTGCAGTCGCACAGCTGCATAATCAGACCTCGCTGCAATCGGAACTTAATAACGAAACTGACCGGAAAATTTTTCGTCCATCTCATTCGTTTAATTATTTAGGTTGTTTTAATCTTATCTGTTTTTTTTTGTGAAGAACGATGTCTTTGATTCTTTTAAAAGACTTTAATTCTCCTCCCCCTCCCTCCTCCTTCATTCTATTTAACAAAAGAAAGAGTGAGAAATAAGGAATAAAATTCGCTTCTTTTTCTTCTCTCTCCCCCTCTTTCTCTTTATATTCTCTGCTTGGAAATATTTTCTAACGTATATCATTAGGGTTTGCTGATGTTAATAAGCATCAATATTGACCAAATGGCAGAGCTTTGAGAGTTACCAATGCCTTTTGAAGTTGTCGACGAGCGTCTTCCATTAAGGGGAAAAGCGACCGAATTCTTAATAATGCCTGTAAAGTTCAAGGTCTAAGCTTTGTTATTTGCCATTGACCCTGGAGTATCATTCGATGTTCTAGATAGAAAGTATAAAAGATAATTTATATCGTAATTATTAAGCGGAAGGCTTATGGCGGAGAATTTTCATTTCAAAGCAGTCAATAGGCTTTTGAAGAGCTCGGATTCCTCTTCAATGCTACCCTTTTCCCCAAATTAGGATATAAGCTTGACTTTGTTCCTGGTGAACAAATCCTGATTAACCTTTTGTTATTCCTTTCGGAAGGTAAACTTGCAAAATTTCCAATCTGTAGATGAAGTCTTTGAAAGAAAAAACACCAAGGTACACAATAAATCCATTTCTTTTTAAATGGAATATATATATATATATATATTGGATTTTTATACGGGTGAGAAAACAGAACTACGCTTGTCGAATACATTTTTAGAGTTTTAGACGTTATATAGAAACGCTTAACCTCGACGCGTAGAAACATTTCAGTAGCACTATACTATTAAACTTTTATTACTCTTTTATCTATAATTTTAACCAAAATACACGTCAATTTTTGTGCTTTACGAGTAATTCATTAAGCATAAATCATTCTAATTAAGAGAGATACAAACTGAGATAGAATGAGATGTAGAAGGATTGTGGAAGTAAGAAGAGAAAAAGTGCATTATATAGAAGAAATAGGAGCGATATAAAAGAAGGAACAGCAGGAATGAAATATTGAAAAAAAAGCGTATGTTATTTCTATTTAATCTTCAGTTTCTTAAAGCTGAAAGTTAAGGAAAAAAAAGTCTACTCGGAAAAAAAGAAACATGCCTCACAGCTATTTGGTTTTCCATGTCAAAGAATTTTTTCGGCCGTTGCAGTCATTAGAGCTTGACTATATTGTATGATTTTAATGAGGGTTCCTCTGATTACTTTCAGATTATTATATATGCTATAAAATTTGTTTTACAGTTGATTAAGAGACTTTATTTACAATAGACAATACTTTATAATAGATATATTAGTATATACTTTTTGTATTTAGATATATTGACACACTATACATAAATTAAAAAGAGAAAAGGAATGATAAAGAAATCCTTAGAAAGAAAAGAAACTAACAATTCAACAGTTGATTTTCTTCGATTATCAATTAAATGTCGTAAATTATTGGCAAATCAATAGGAAAAATTGTTGCTTAACTCTGTTGAAATACACAAGGGTATTTTTTTACGACTATTTGATTGTATATATTCAAATTCGTATTTATGCGCATGTATGAATGAATGTGTGGGAATAGTAGTTCGCTTAAAGACTTAACGCCTATGTGGGAAGCTTATGCAATTTTATTGATTTTCTCCAAAGCACCAACCAGTAACAATCTTTAGTATCCCATTTTTTGCCCTCTTAAACATTGCTTTATTGAATGTAAAAATAGATCAATTTGTATTTTCTGCAATTATACCGCCTACCCCCTCCTAGTCTTACATCCTCTCCCAGCTGTCTAATATCTTCGAAACGGTTAAAATTAAATTAAACGTTACCTCATTCAAGAAAATACTTATCAAATCGGATTTATCTGTATATAAGAGTAAAAAAGTGATCCTTGCGAGTAGAAATAGCGGTAGGATAAGAGAAAACTAATTAATTAAGTTTTGTGACTAAATCGGCCTTAGTGCGTTGTGTTCACTCGAAGATTAGTGGTCCAGTGATAAAAGGATAGGGAAAGAAAAAGAAGAATCCGCCCACAAAACGCTAATATTTCAAATGAAGTCTGTTTATAAAAAGAGAATGTTACCGTTGCTACCATCTCTTTTTTTTTGGAATATCACAATAACGCACCGACAATACGAATATGGAAAATTTCTATTCACGTATCAGTTCGTATTTACAAAGCAGTACGTACAAGAATGCACTCTTTGATTCTAATTAAGAAGACTATTCTTCCATGTCGTGTATTTTTCTTCCATACTGCTGAATCACTGTATAGTATGGGTATAGGAGAGGAAAGGAAAGGAAAGAACGCTGAAGGTGATATTTACTAAAAATTCTCGGTAAATTCAGTCCGCAGGGGGCGAGAAAAGTGCTCCTCTAAATATTTAATTGATAGTTGTTCAACGAGTCGATCATTTTGATCTATGTTTCCTCAGAAATATCGATAAGATTAGGAATTGATACTCATCCATACTCATCACGCATAATAAACATTTTGTTGAGCGTTTTCATTGAAAGCATTGCAAATAGACCCCTTTCAAAAGCGTTCTCAATCAAAATAATAAGGCACAGCGGTAAATATAACTTCATGATTCGAATGCAAAAAGTGTGAAAGGAAAAAAAAAGACTGCTACCCGATTGTTCTTGGGCAAACTGTCATCAAATTAATCTTTACTTAATCAATAAATCTTGTAATAAACAAATAAAGTAAACAAATTTTCTCCCTTTAAAAACAATATAAAAGGATGAAATCGGTTCACTTTGCAAAGAGAAATATGAAAATAAACGTCGCTATGGCGTTTTTTTGATCCATTGGGAGAGGTCGCCGTTATTTGTGTTTTAAGATGAATGTCATATTTTCACTCTTCTCAATCTTTTCTTCCTTTTCATTACCTTTTTCTCTTATTCTTACAGCAACGAAACGCCTCAACACGAACAACAAACTTCCGAATCAGCTGGTCCAATATCTAACGTAAGCTAATTATCATTCTTGATTTACGGTATACTATTCTTCTTAAGGTCATTATATTTTTTTGGTTCTGCTCCCATTGCTATTATTTTTATGGTAAATTATGAGAAAGCCCGTAGAGCTTGCCGCCATAAAGATCTAAAGGAAAAAAGATCCTTTATCATATTTCACATGGATATTCCCTTTAAAAAAAATAATGGTTTAATGCTCTTTTAATCATAATGCAACAATTACGAAATTACTCGATCTAGCCTTTGAGCAAGGCCTTTTACAAGAACATTTTTTCTGCAATACTTCCCTCTCTTGTTTTATTTTGTAATATGCTTTTCCCCAAATAGGCCTTTTTATAGCACTTTTTTGTTCATTCTTCCTCATTATACAGTATATAGATATGCATATTTTCCAGTTTTTAACTAATAGAAAACTAAAAGTAAAGAATATTTATAAATATTTACAAAAGTTCTTGTTATATTGTATTATATTTTTTTTTTACACTTTCCAATATAAATGGCTTTTTTTCTTGTTTTTCTTCCGGTTTTTTTTTCCTATCAATATGATTAAAACGATTATAAATATCTTTTTTTTACCTGGTACGCTACCCTTTTAATCTTGATATTATTAGCCATTTGTTACCTTATGAAATTAGCTATTTAGGCGTTTGTTTTGTATACGTATGCACAGTATATATACAGTATATATACATGGTTCGCAACTTCCTTTTATGCTTAATAAGGATGCAACTGTAAAAACAAAAAACAAAAGATACAAGTAAATTTATTACGCAATTTGCTAATTATCTACAATTGATAACATTTTCTTCCTAACTACTTTAATTTTGTTTATAATTTGTCGGCTTTGTCAGATGGAGCGCCCTTTTCCTCCACTTAAATAATTTACAGCTCGTAGCGACAAACTTACATCACGTGACCCTACTCGTTTGGCGAGCTTTAATTAGAAAACCTGCTGAGGATATATACTCTTTCAGAATGATGCCCGATTGATTTAGACGGAGGAATATAATCAAACGACCTATTTCTTTTAACAAACATATAAAAATCTGTATAAAAAATAAGGCTCAATATATATCGTCAATTTTTACAGGCGTGCATAGAACGCGAATCGATTGAACCCAAGCGTGTGTTTCCTTTTACCTGGCTTTGTTTGCCATGGCAATTTCTTTACTGTCAGTTTTATATATGTGTACAATATATTTACCACGAGTGATTTTCGATTTTCTGATCCGAAACTGTGTGCATAAGGGGCATTAATTGACACGTTGAAAAACGTTGCAATCTTTAGGTAAAGATCTTTACTGGCAAATATGCAGGCCTAAGGGAAAACACGTTACCGCCACCACCTCCAGAGGAAATATTAAAAAATAAGCTTTTTTATTATTTGTCAGGTTTTGTTACCATTGCCATTCAAATATGATTTAAAATAAATACCATAACCTGTGCTATTAGACTACTTCTCGATTTATCTTCTCTTTTCTCTTGATTTTCTTTTTGCTAAAGATAAGCGGGAAAAAAAATTCTTTTCAACTGCAATAATTGCAGTTTTTTCAAGGCAAAACTGTTTTACAATCTAGGGCGTTTAACATAAATTGCTGTTTCACGGATCATTAATTTCAGCGTTTACTTATGTCGGATAGCTTGATTAGTCGGCAAATAAAATATATATATATATATATATACATATATAGACATAATCCAGGTAAAAATATAGGAATAGAAAGAGAAACAACGGGAAAGAAAGAGAGACTCTTGCTTTGTTATTTTTCACCTTAATTGACCTTGGGCTATCTTGTTTTTCATTTAAAGATAGTTTTTTTCTCTTGTTTTCTTTCCCTCTTTATTTTCTGTTACTTTTATAAATGTGATATTCTAAAAAGAGATCTACCCAATATTTATTAAATGGCATGTCAACAAATTGAATTTATCAGTTGGCAGAAGATCCTGCAGCATTCTAGGCGTCCGATATGGTTTACAACACTTTCCCTCTCTCCCCACTAGTGCCACAGCTATCGTCACCCCACATTCCCCCTCTAACACTTTCCTACCAATTTTCGTTGGCTATAGTCGAGATCTTTGCCACCCTTACCGGCTACCCGTCACCCCCGTATTCCATCAGTATTGTTTGTCCTTTAAAAGGTTTAAATGAGTCTTTATCAGTTTGCTAATTGGTTTTTCTTAATCTGACTCTAGAGGAAGGAGGTAAAAGAAGGAAGATAGTGTAAACACCTCTTAGTTTCGCGTACATTTAAGCCATATAATAGAATGATGTCAGAGGAAAGAGACGTCCAACGTCTACTTTGTTGAATTCTTACATAAGAGTAGTAAAAGAAAGAGCATGTTCGCTACTTTAGCTTAATTGCTCTCATTTTCTTCTTTAGAAGCGTAATAGTAGAAAATTACATCTTTACATCCATTACAACAACTTTTAACAACGAATAGTATCTTCTATTTGTTTAATTAAAGTTATGAAAGTTTAATGAAGTTTGTTGGTGGAAATGACTACATATTTTCATAATTATTATACTTTATTATATCAATAATTAAATTAGAAAAAAATGAGATACATTCAATTATTATGAATGTAGTAAACAGATACTTAAACAGATGGTTTTAGATTGAAAAATTTATTATTATCTATTGTCATTTAGGCGTCTCTTCTTCGGTAAATGACCAAAAATATTCAATGAAGACTGCTTCCCTTTAACTTGTTACATTTTGTTTTACAATTTGTTGTTAATTGCGAAATAGCAAAAATCATTATTCCTCCCAATAAATTGTTAGAATATGAAATCATAATGAAATTATGTCAATTCAGCAATATATATAGAATATGTAATAAACGATGCAAATATTTCAGCAGACGGTATATATATATATAGAGGAAACGCTTCTAAACGATGAATAACCAAAGATATAATGTATATGCAGCATATGTATATTAGTAGTATATATAGTATATACAGTTTGTATTGATAAAGAGATATCTATGCTGTATAATGGTAAAAAATTTTTAATAAATGATATGATATCCTTTGAGATGACATTGTTTTCTGCGCTTTTCCAATAAATTATGTCAGAAAGAGAACATAGGAGAATTGGATAATACAAGATAATGTTATTAATTGGATCAATATACGCTTATGTGTACGTTCTAGGCGCCATCTGTAATGTAATTTATCAATCACACTAATGTGTCATTTTCGTTTATGCTTTATATACTTGTACAATTTTCTTTTCAACAGGATACTAATTATAACATTTCAATTATAAAGAGTGATAATATGTATATATACTGCATATAACCTAAATATATATCATATTTATATTTATATATACATACTTCTTTATTATATACAGAATTTTTTTTCCGATAATGGAGCCTTTGAAATGCCGGAACCACCCGTCCTAGAAGCGGAAGTGGTTGATAATTTGGGCAAAATCCAATTCAGAGTCAGCTATGATTTCCACGACCATACGTTAAATTTGAAGGTTATGAGAGCAACAGGCTTACCGGCAAAAGATTTTACAGGAACAAGCGACCCCTATGTCAAAGTTCTCCTATTACCCGACAAAAAGACCAAACTGCAAACAAACATTAAAAGGAAAAATTTGAATCCCCATTGGAATGAGAGCTTCGCTTTTGAAGGTTTATTCATTTCTCTTTATCATTTCAATAATAAATTCAATTTCCTGATTTTTTCTTTTAAAAAACAAATATAGGTTTCCCCTTTCAAAAAATTCAAAATCGAATACTCTATATGCAAGTACTCGATTACGATAGATTTTCTAGAGACGATCCAATTGGAGAGATAGCCCTGCCGCTGGCTGATGTCAATTTAGCCGAAGGGAAGACCATGTGGAAAAATCTGCAGCCTTGTAAAGGACATTCTGGAAGATTAGGGGAGCTACTTCTTTCGCTCTGTTATCAACCTGCTCAAGGTAGCCTTACCATCATTGTTATCAAGGCAAACAGAATTTCATAGTAGAAATATCATCCTTATTTAATTTATTACTATAATATTTACTTATATAGCATTGCCCAATGAATCATCATTCAGCTAAAATATTTTCAATGAAAAGCTATAGTGGAAAAATGACATTATTTTTCTTTATCTAATGGTGTTAGTATGTTATCTAGAGTGTCTGCTGTTGTATACAAGAAGAGAAACAATCGAAATAACAACTAATAAAACATACGCTCCGCAGATAATAGGGAATCGTGAAAAGGAAAAAAAAGTATCATGATAAATCTCTTGCGTTTTAGGGTTTATAGCTGAAATAACCCAATTTTTATCCCATTATATCGACCGCTCACAAATAGGAATTTCGTTTGTACAAACGATACTCTTTTGTATTTATACTTTTATTGAGATAGATAGATAAATAGATAGATAGAGTAGACGGTGGGACAATGGAAGAGAGAGAGAGGGCAGGCAGGCAGGGTGGAGGCGACACGACAAAATTCCAAACAATTTAGTAAAAAATTGTTTTTCATACGCATAGATTTATTGGTGGTTAGCTATTGAGGATAAAGGGAAGACTATATATTCCCAGTGATTCTTTAAAGCTCCTTTTGCCTTTCATCTTTCTAAAATAATCCATATTGCTTGCTGTTCCAAGGAAAATACTCAAGTTATTTGCCTTATTGTCTCTTGTGCGAAAATTCCAAGTTATCCAATGCTGATAATTGTTAGAGAATATTGTGGAAGGGAGCACCTACTTTTCCCGGAAAATGCGATTTCTAGAAAGTTGATTCTCTCCTCTAGCTATTTCCTGGCCTCCATCGTTGCACTCTAAACTCTTTCACCTTTTCTTTCCTTTTTAGTTTTCATTGCACTTTATTGTATATTAGTCACATAGGTACAAAAACACGCATAGATTAACTCTCTTCCTTCTCCCTTTCTCTTTCCTTCCCTGTCTGTCTGTCTGTCTATCTAGCTATCTCTCTTTCTCTCTGTATGTTACTTTCTCTGTCTCTGTCTCTGTCTCACTCTCTCTATCTCGCTCTTTTGTGTTCTTCTCCTCTCTTCCGTTTATTTTATATATTCAAAATTTTCCAGTGCAATTTATACACAATTTTTTAGGAGAGGAAAAGCTTAAGAGTTAAGAGCCCTCTGAAATACTTCGATTTGATGTGTCACCATCAAATTTCATTAACAGTATTGCATTTAAAAGATTTCAACTTCTCTCTTGTAATCTTTGTCAATAGGGAGAATATGAATAGTAAACTATCTTCAATATACTTATTGAAGAAGAAAAAACAATTATTAAAGGTCTCGAATGTTGACCTTTAGACGGATATAAGGGGAGAACTCGACAAACGAATGACTAGCATTTTCTATTTGGCAATGAATGCCTTCATTTTCTTTCTTTTAGTTCCTCTGTTATCCTGCCTTTTTTTTCTATATTAGACTATAATCGGTTTGCAGTTGGTATACAGAGCACTGTCCTCAATAAAGAAAGGCTATTTCCGATACATTATTAATATATATATTTGAGTTTATGTTAATGGAATTTGAGTGGAATAGGATAAAAAATTTTTAATTTCTCTTGTGAATGTTTTGAGCGTGATTTCATCATCGTCAGAGGTAATAAAATAGGCGAAATGCATGGAAAATTTACTAGCAATTCGTATCAAATAGTAATTTGAAAGTAATTTATGTTCTAGTGCGATCTTTTAGTCAACACAACTAAAAAATTGGATAAAAAAAATGAAAGAATATAAATTGTATATGACAACGTATAGTATTTATTACAGTTGAGTAATAAGTTTAGGCGTCTATCGATTAACATAATATGTATTACATATTCTATATAATTCTACCTAAATATCTAATATGAAATTCTGTTTAACGGTCGAATAAATAGGCCAAACATTTAAAATCAAAAGATTTGAATGGTCTCTCGGATCCTTATGTCAAAATATGGCTTACTCAAGACGGGAAAAGGGTTGAAAAAAAGAAGACTGTCATAAAGGAAAAAAACTTAAATCCTATTTATAACGAAACGTTCGTATTCGACGTTCCCTATCAGAAAATACGGCAAACCTCTCTAGATATATCAGTTATGGATTACGATAGAATCGGTAGGAATGAATTAATTGGTCAAATTGTACTAGGAGCCAGATCTGGTCCCATGGAAGTCAGGCATTGGAATGAAATGTTTCAAAAGTGTCGTCAGCCAGTCCTCCAATGGCACATTCTGAAAAGTTTCTGATGATAAAATAGTGTGAGAAGGAGGAAGGAAGAGAGAGAGGGAGAGAAGATAGGTAGAATGGGAAAGGGAGAAAGGGCGGGGGGGGCAAAAAAGAGAAAGTCATTATATTTGAATATTTTACAATATAATACAGGGAGAGAAAAAAAAAATAAGACTCTGTATATTTATATATATATATATATATATATATATATGTTTATATTTATATAAAACTAATAACTCGTATATGTAATAAACAATTGATTTTGTATTAACTGTGTTATGGAAAAGGGAATTGTACGTAGCATGTATAAATTTATTTGTACGTATGTACATATCTATACATATATATATATATATATAGATATATATATATATATATAGATAATTGCCTACAAAACTAAGGAATGAGATATGATTGTAGGTAAAAGAAAAAGAGCTTGTAATTAATTATAAACGATTGGTGACGAGAGGGAAATTGGTGTGATGCTTTAATTCGGCTAGTCTCTGCAGGGACCTAAATTATTTCGTGTAAAAAAAAAATAAAAAAAAAGATACGGCGTCTAAAGTCTATGTCTAAAAACATAGAAAATACGAAATAGACGAAGAAAAAAGAAGATATATGGAAAATGAAAATACGAAAATATGTACAAAATTACGTAAATAAATTTGATAAAAGAGAGATATTGACGCTGTTAAAATGAAAATAAGATGAATATATTTTGTTATAATTGTGTATGTGTATATTTATATCTGTTATTACTTTGTTCCTTTCTGTTCTTTATGACGTTTTTTTGTTTCTTGTTTTGCTTTTGCACTCTCTGTAAATTGAACAGAAACCTTCAATGTAACAAACAAACGAAAGAAACAAATAAAAAAAGAATAACAAAGAATCAGAATCATTATAATAACAATATTAACTTATATAAATATTTAAAACTATGGTTACTATACTTTATATTCGACTGCCTTTAGATGGCGCCTTCTTCGAATGTAGGTGTCGTTTGGATCGTATGGCGCGAAAAAAAAAACACATAGTTATATGGAAAAATGAAGGCAAACAACTGACAGCAGCAGTTATGTCACGTCGGAAACAACCGAATCCGAAACCCGTAAAAAGTAAGTTTTTATCTTCAAAACTGTTTGTCATGCAATTATTTTTTATCACATTTTTGAAATGTTTGAACGCGTTATCATCTCTAGATAGTGTAATTAGCCTTTTATCGCCTAATATTTACGATCCTAATCTCTATTATCCCGGTATAGAGAAATTTTTTTCAAAAAATTTTTTGCCAACAGATGTTTATCTGTTCTTACTGCGCCGATAAGACAGGGGTACGTAGTCTGTCTTGTCGCCTTATCTTCCATATATCCACCGTTGCTAGGGTAACGCTGATATTGAAAGCGATAAGGGGCTGATAAGACTTAGCCTCAACCCTATGCATGCGCCAGATAACTATCTGGTCTGCCTGTCTTAGTCTGCACAGTTTGGCCTTTTTAACATATATTTTATGTTCTCGAATGTGAAAGAAAAAGCGGCAAAGTTTGATAAGAGTTTTTTTTTTAAAATTGTTTGTATTTCCTATTTTTACTTTTCTATCTTTTTTTACTTTATCATTTTTCCTTCTTCTTTCATCTTTCGTACGTTTTTCACTTCGAAGTGAACGGTTTTTTGAACAATCGACTTGCATGTTAGTCTCTATTTATTCTCTATGCAACACTATGTGATGTACTGTATACGTAAGACTCAACATGCATGGAATGCGGATGTAAATGATCAGCTACTTACTTCCTAACCGTATTAAAATTACCACACAACTGATCTAAAGATCCGTAGAATTGACAATAGAAAGGAAACAGATACATACAGTAGATGCACGCCGAAATGTACTAGAAAATGATTGACAGAAATCCTCCCCTAATCCTTATATACTGCAAAGGTTATTTTTTGCAGTCGAATACAGATAACGCAGCTCCTGGACGGTAGAGATAAGGGTAGTAGATAAATGATGGGGGATGAGAGAAGGAAAAAAAGAGGGTTGTATACAGCGAAGCGCGACAAAGATAACAGCTTATCTTGCGCAAGCACGCTCATTGCCTGTCGTCAGTATTCCGCCCTTATCGGCCTCCTATCTCGGCCGCCATTACGTTCGAAGATTGCCGAGATAAGAGTCGTACGCAATTCGAACGCAATGCCTTGCGTTTTTTTTGTCAGACTGCTGGGGTAGTGTGTTACTTTTATATATATATATACAATATATATCAATATGTATATAAACATAGAGTATACATATTTATCATTCCATTCACCGCTACATCTTTCAAATATTTACGTTAAATTAATTCATTTTTAATTTATTACTTATTAAAAGCTTATCTCCCGTTTCCCTCCTTGTTTTAATACTTTTTATAATTTCTTATTAACTCAATCTAACCTAATTCTTTTCTTATCAATAAAATTAAAAAGAAAACAAGGGATGCAAACAAAACGAAACAAGTTTTCTTGCCGTTTTGTTTACATATTCAATATATTAATAGGGAGATATACAAACGAGACAAACACTTGATATGTCTAATATGCTATTAAGAAAATGTATGCATATATATATTTGTTGTATATTAAAGACTTTACACAGTTTCTAGTGTTGCATGAACTAATACAAATTGGCTGTAATCTTGCGTAAGTTGATTGATCTCTTACAAAATGTAAGGCAAAACTTTAATCGGTGATTAATAACGTCTGACCGCAAATTCCAGTATCATATAGTCTTCTAATCTTCTAACTAGTAATCACTTCAAAGTGTCAATCACAGCTTTCATAAGATATGTCATCTGTCAATGTATATCACCTTCTCAATAACTAACAATGCCTATTTATTCCTATTGGTACTTTGTTATTTTTGGTTACATCTGAGGAATATTTTCTTTTCTTCGAATCTTCTTGATTACTTTTTTTATTTTCGTAAAAAAAATAAATTTTGATAAAGATACGAAAGATGAAAGAGAAGAAGCGAGTTTGAAGAGAGGGAGAGGGGGAGAGGGAGAGGGAGAGGGAAAGAGAGAGAGAGAGAGAGAAAGAGCAAGAAGCTTTCTTTTCCTCATTTTCCAAACTTTTTCCCTTTCAAACAAACTATTTTTCTTTCTTCATCTCTGCAATCTTTCCGCATACCTTTCATCTGCTACTGATCAATACTATTTTGTCTGTAACAACAATCTCTATTGAGAAAGGTGAGGGAACAATTATAGATAGGTCATAGTACCAATGCAAAAAATTTATTAAAAGTAAAGGAGAAAGTATTGGGCGTAATCATAAAAAAAGTGGATTACGATCGCGATAAGACGAGGGGCGGCAACAGATGTTCTCAGATCGATTATCGGAAAAAATTCTAAATAAAAGACGGCTAGTTGATAACAGTCTACAGGTGAATTTAAAAAAAACTGATAAGAACTGATAAGACCAGATAAAGGAATGTAAGATTACGCTATACTGGTATAATCATATTTATATATGCAATATATTTATATACATAGATCGTACGCATATATACTTTATATATAATGTACACTCGGTTCAAAAGACTATTTAAGGGGATAGCATATGCGCATATCGCATATAGATAGTTCATATTTAGTTGACTGTTGACAAGAGTATTGCATGCTTCAGTTTGACAGAGATCTCTTTTTAATAAGCCGACTGTAAATACGAAAGAGCAGAATAGAGGCAAAGATAAGAATAATTAGTAAATTCTTTTAATCCTTATCTACTCCTTTTGGATATTAATACTAAATAGTTACTAGATTTATCTTGCCCTGATGAGAGGAAATCTTTTTAAAAAATGGCGGCACGTGTCGAGGAAGTAAACAGCAGGTGTAGATAGCAGTGCTTATGATAAGAGATAAGACTTTGTCGCACGCCATTCAAGGCTAGGACATGAAGAAGGTTACTCTGAAACGGTTTAAAGATTCCTCGCCTCCCATTCAAGTGACCGGCAAAAAAAGAGAAAAGGGTTAGTGTCATCTTTACTAGCTTTTAATTTGTAGAGCGTTATCAATCAAGAGCTAGATATATTTAAGCCGATGTTTCTCTCCCTGTACATGTCTACAATGATAATAATAATGATAATAATAACAATATTGATAAAAAATGGATGTTCTTCTTTCCTTATCAATTGCAAACAGTTTTTGAATGGAATCATGTCTATATATTTAAAGTATTCAACTTTTAATTCATGTTTAGAAGGGAAAAAGAGGATGACTAAGGCAGTTAGGATACTTGTGCTATAAATTCTTGATCGACCACCCATGATGTTAATATGTTCTATTTTCGTGTAAATATAGATTAAGTTGAATTCTCTTCTACAAGATCATTATTTAGGACGATTTGTGAAGAAATTAGAATACTTATCTGATATTTTTAGTGTTTTTATTGATAATTTCAAGCAAAAAAAAACTACTCTATCATTTGTAGTAACACTATATTGCAAAAACTCTGTATCGGAATTTTCTTCTCTAAGATAATCAGATAATCAAAAATACGAAATGTGAATGTAATTTAACTTTTCTCCCATTCCCTATCCTTTCTTCCTTCCTCTCTCCCTCTTCCTCTCTCTCTCTTTCTCTCTCTCTCTCTATAATGCTCCACTTTTCATAACTAAACATTGTTTATTTTTGTCTTTTTATTTTTTTTAAAAAAACAAGAAAATATGTTAAAACTGATTTTTTTTTGTATTTGAAATTTTGCTTTTTATCTTAACTGATTATTTTTAGATTGATTTATAATTATTTTTTCTTTTCCATCACTCTCCCCTCTCTCTTTCTCTCTCTCGCTCTCTCTCTCTATCTCAATCTATCTGTATCTCTGCCTCCATATTCATCTCTCTCCCTCCGTGTTCGTCTATTCTACCCTCTTCCCCTCATTTCTTTCCTCCATAATTTATCATCAAGTTTTCTTCCCTTAAGTAAATGGAACAGCGGGAGGGGTGGAAAGGAGAATAGTGTGGAGAAAGTGACTGCGTGGGGGCGATGATACTTTATCATTTGACGATGACATCTCGTCCCTCCCCACTTATATCCCTAGTCTTTATTCTGACTTTCTTTGATGTTTTTGTGCTCGCAACGTTCCTATCTCTTTCTTAAATCACGTTCCAAGTTTTAATTTGATTTTCTCATCGATTTTCAAAAATATTTACAGTTATGTAATAAAAACAAGTTGACTTGCATTATATCTGCAAACAATGAGTCAGAATCAATTTCCTTATCTCAACTATAAAGAGACGACATTGTCCTTATCGTTAGTTATCTGATTAAAACAGGCAATTCGCGTTGATCAAACAAGCACTCCCCCGCACCGGAAGCAGGAAATTACCCTGTTCAGCTACCCGTAGATTCCAAATAAGGAGAGAATATCATAGATATTTTGCGGTCGAGCATCCTATAGAATTATGTACTGGAAGAGAAAACAAACAAATCAACAAACTCTGCTGCCTAGTTCGTGTTATCAGTGATGCACACGCGCCTTATCTTTACAACGCCTTTATCAGGCGGCCTTATCTTACAGCTTATCTTTGCTTGTATTTGTTATAGCAGTCGGATTTTTTTGCAGGGGAAGAGGAAAATGAAAAAGAAGAATTGGTTGTTAAGAGGCAAAGCTCACCACCAGTTAAGAAGCGTCTCAAGGCGTCTTTCCGTAAGTTTTGCTTCTTTATACTAAAAGCTGTCTCTTGTTCCTTTTTTTTTATGAAGTAAATTTATCCATGCGAATCTATTAGAGTCTTTTTAGTCCTAATCTCTAGTAATCTTTCAACCCCTCCTTATTTCGTGAAAAATTACCCAGAGATCGTTTTATTCTCCGTCCTTAAATAGTAAATATTCGCTTTGAATTTAAGATGCATCCCCTCCTAAATAATTAGATGAATGTACAAGAAATTCAATAGAATCTTGTTTAATTAAAGATTGAACAAGTCGTAAACTTTTTGCTTAAACTTCAAGTTCAAATTCCGAAATTTAACTATTCTGATTGTATTCTTTCGATTGTATTGTACTCATTTAATAGGAATTGATAATAATCTTATAAACGTATTTATTTATACGTACAAGCATACGTAGTAATCTAAATTTACTATATATGGTACTGCATATACTGATTATACATACTTTATATATAGTTTATACATTACTTTTGTAAAACGGACGCAATTTATTAGTTAATAATCTTTTATCGTCAAATGTAAATTAAGAACTTTTCAACAGCACTCATTTACGCCTGTGCCCGATGCGGTGTCAAGTTCAGCAGTCCAAAAACCCTCGAGGCTCATGCTACCTTCTATTGTGCTCATCGCGGTGAAGATTTCTCTTGTCCTGATTGCAAAGCCTCTTTCAGCACTGAAGAAGGTCTACGAGGTCATCAGCTGAACTTTTGCCGGCCACTCCCCCCTCCGCCTTCTCTCATATTCCACCCACTTCCAGTTGTTCTTCCACCCCCTCTTATTATCAGGTCTAAAACACCTCAGATAGATGATCAGCCATTAGATTTAAGTATGAGAAAAGATGATATCGAAGAAGAGGTAATAGAGAAAAAAGAAATTATTATAGAAAAGAAAGAGGAGAACGATGTCAAGAAAGAATCTCCTAAGATGACATTTACTTGTGCTTCTTGTTGCATTTCATTCAGCTCAGAAACAACATTAAATGCCCACAAAACCTATTACTGCCCTCAGGCGTCACCGGAAGTCAATTATCGATGCGCCATCTGTGGTTATAAAGGGAATACACTTCGAGGCATGCGTTTGCACTCCAAAACGCATTCGGAACGAGAGAAAGATCCACGAGACACCTCACCAGAAGTTGTATCAGCGAAGGCGTCACCGGGCGACAAGTATTGCTCCAAGTGCGATATATCCTTTACCTACCAAGCGACATTTGACGCGCATAAGAAATTTTATTGTTCATCCCACCATACCCAACAAGCCGTAACTGCCTAGTCATAAAGCAAAGAAAAACAATAAAGCAAATAATGAGGAGAAAGGTAAAGCAAAACAAACAATTTTTTTCCTCTTTTCCTTTCTTCTACCGCAAATCAAAAAAAAACCCAAGAAAATCAAACAAACTAAAGAGTTTATTAATTTACCAAAGTGTTAATGTTAATGAGAGAATTTATTCAAAAATGTTTTCTACGCTTGCGTCACCTGCAGGGAAATTTATAAATTAAAAACTAAAATATGACAAAAATAATAGACAGTAAAATTTCATGGATGTTATCTGACGTACTGTGTTTTTTTTTAAGTGCTTTTATTTTTCCTATACTTTTGCAGTCGCGGTTAAAGATCTATGAGATAAATTATACATATATATATATATAGATATATATAGTATATATAATTGAATAGTGTACATCTTGGTGCAGTATTGCTACTCCAGTATACTGTATTTCTACTCATATATACAGTAGTATATTGGGTATTTTATACTTGTGGAGTATATATATATATATATATATATATTTATATAATTTATATTTATGTTTATATTATTTTTTTATTGAATTATTTAGCAAAGTGCATTAAAAGATATGAAAAATGGCACACAGAATTATAATTCTCAGCTACTTTCTACTCCTCTATATTGAATGTAATCTTATATATTTAATAGTTTTATTCTCTTCTCATCGTCCTCTTCTTCCTCTACTTCTTTTACTTCTTCCCTCTCTTTCTCTGTCGCTCTTCTTCCTTTCCTCTATTCTTCTTAATTATTCTACTTTCTGCTACTATTTTTTAACCTGAAAGCAGTAAAAGAACATTCCTTTTACCTTTTCAAAGATGATTATGAACAAAGAAGAGAAATAAAAAACAATTTGACAACTGAATTATATGAAAAAGTTGTAATATTTATTAATCTCTCTATAATACTATTGAATAGACAAACAGCTTTCTATTAAAAACAAACAAATCCTTCATTATACACTATTACTATCGCTATTAATCTTCACTTTTAAAAATAGATGGCGACACTTGTTAGCATTTTCTTTTCTGGAACCGTTTGAACTATTGGAAATCTAGATAGGAAGTAACGACGTATAAGTACTCTAGTAGAAACGCCTCTCGATCAGTGACTTTATTCGATCAAAAGCTTTTTCTCTAGACATGATTAATGATTGATTAAATGTTTGTAAGGAAACGGTTCGCTTATTATTCTAAACGTGTCATATCTCTATTAATGATACAGTGACCCAATTATTTCATTACTTCTCTTACTTCTTCCATAGAATTGTGCCTTTCAACTGAAGAAAAAATAGATTCATCCCACGCTTGTTGGTCTTATTCCCTTAGGGGAAATTTCCAGAGGAAAACCGCAACATCTAATGACGTCAGAGAGGCTTTTTCCAGCCGCTTTACTCCTATCATTTCATAGAAGACTATTATCTAATAATAGACTTGTTTACTAATTACCTTTCGCTATTTTATAATTAAAAGTAACAGTTGTAGAGAGAGAGAGAGAGAGAGAGAGAGAGGGAGATGAAATGATAAAAAATAGGGAGGGTGGAGAATGACACGATATTGTAGAAAGAATATATTTAGGTGCGAAAAAAATCTATAATGAGTTCGCTTTCTATAAACGGTTCTCCAGACTATTTCAAGGATGTCATAGAAATTCGCCATTGAAATGACGTCATTCGAAGCAAAAAATAGAATCCATCGATTTTCTAAGCTTATATATATTTCGAATAGTATATATTTAGCGTAACGTAAAAGCCTTGCTTTCCTTTGAAACAAAATATTCTTGGAGAGGGTCGAGTTATTTTATGGAAATTAAGTCGGAATTACGTCTCCCACTCATCTTTTTTCCTCCCTTTCCATCTCTATATCGCTCCTTTTTCTTACTATATCGTCTTAATAGTGAAATATGAATTGAAAAACGAGGAAAGTAAGAGCAGAAAAGTTGGAAAAGAGAAAATAAGATTATATATTGGGTTAAGCCAATTAATATCTGTAATTCAAATTAGCATTGTATTAAAAGCAAATCTAAAGGAGTCATGGATGATGAAACAGAAATCTTCTCAGCTAAAATCAATTATTATTGTTACCATTTTAATTTTGACCTTTTGCTTAAAGAGAGATGTATAAATATAAATATAAATACATATACTGTATATACTGTTTTTACAGTATATTTATATATAGATGTACTCTTTTCATTATATAGAATACGCTGTATACTGTGTGAGTGTGCGTGCGTATGTATGTGTTTTATTTACTCCATTTTTTGGACATGAGGGCTTCCAAAGGCGCTTTTTTCTAGTTGCGAAGGTGATATAACGTTTGAAATAAAACAACCCTCTTCCTTTTCCCACTTCTATCATATCTCTTCCCTCCTTTTGCTAAACCTATCAAATTTTTGTCTACATCTTATCTCTTCGTCTATTCAATCTATTCTTCAACGTGTTGGTTACACTTTATGTCTTTTCTCTCTATCTAGCTATCTATCTTTCTCCCACCATCTATCTCCTGTATCTTTTTACAGCTCTCCGTCAAACCCCCAAACGGCGTTTTGTCTAAAGAGAATAGCCATTGCCACACCTTTTTTCTCTACCTATTTCTGTCGCGTTCTCCTATATTTCTAGTTTTTTTTTTCTCCGACCAAATGAGATGATCACAGATGTAAAAAGAACAAAAGTCTGTTAAAGGTTTGAATAGTTTTTCTTTTTATCTTTTCAACATAAAAACAATCTATTTAATAATGTTAAATGCAAAAAATATTCAAGAATATAAGAGTGGAAAAGTGAATAAATACGGTACAAACGAACAAACATGTACAGTATCTATATATACATTTATCAAGATGGTTTGAAAAACACCAAACAGGTATAACATTGAAATATAACCGGACAATTTTTTTTTCGGTGTCTACTTATTTACAACAGAGAAAAGACAAATACTTCAGTTATGATTCAAATATGGCCACTGGTTTATAGTTGTTTTTAATAAATAAAAACTTTATTCTTCAACATTGAGACAAAAGAAATGTTTAATAATAATAAAAAAGAAGATTGAGAAAATGTCAAAATATTCCGCTATCTGGTGAAGATGGAGTTGAATTTAATTTGAACCTTTCCAATTCTCTTTTGTACAAATCTCTTTCTCTTGCCAATATCAACATTTGTTTTTTCAAATTACTAATTTTTTCAAGTAATTCTTTATTAACTTTTTCTAGGTCGGCTCTCTGTTGCAACCTCTTCGTTCGACACTGTTGCGCGTAACCTCTATTTTTTAAGGTTCTCCTCCTCTGCTTTATACGAATAACCACCTGATCAATAAAGAAAATATTTAGTAACCCAGTTGAGTAAAGATTCAGTTAGAGAGGAGTATTCTCTTCTTTTAACCAAAGAAAAATAAAATACAACTTTCTCTCTTCTCTTGTGTTTTCCCTTTTAAAATGTTAATTATTTGCTTTTTTTTAAGTAGAAACAATTCTTTTTAACTATTTTTTTTTATTTCATCTTTCTTTCTCTCTTTCTTTCTTTCGATCTTTTTCGTACTTTTTTTACGATACTATTAAAAAAGCTTTAAAATAGTTTTCTTTTCTTTTATTTTTCTTGATTTTAAAAGAAGAAAATGTTAAGTCGTGAAAGTAGAAAGAGAAAGAGAGAGAGAGAGAAAGAAAGAAGAGAATAGCAAATACTTTGCAAAATATAAAATAAAACTCGTGTTTCTCACCTCTTTTGATAATCCATGAAGCCTTCTATTCAATTCTCTAACAGGAAGAAGAATTAATTCCTCATCAGCTACAGGAAGTTCGTCTCCAATTCTTACTAGTTCATCAACTACTGCAGAGGTGTCTACGTCATCGGAATGCTCCGAAAAGGTGTACTTGGAAGAGGGTGATGTTCCGGTTGATTGAATGCCGTTATGAATTAATGAAGGGGATTGATGATTTGGCCTATGCTTTAAGTTGTAGCTCTGCTGCTTTTCTTCGTGCTCTAGTGCAAAGTCCGTAAAGAGGCTAGTAAGAACATCATCTGGTATCTGCGAGTTCATCTTTAAGCTATTCACTCTTCTTCCAAAAGAAAGAGAAAGCTTCAAAAAGAGAAACAGCTGAAAATATCTTTCAAACTCGTCTGACACGCGCCACAAGAATTGGCAAACATTTATAGGGCTTTTCCAAGTATAAGAGAATTTCTATCCAATCAACGAATGGCCAGCTTTATTCTCTTTTAGCTCTGACGTCAAATTGACGTCAGTGAGTTTCCACATGCCGGCTTTTTTCATCTAAAAATAGACGGCTGACTGTCAATCAAACGGGACGAAGCTGTTACCCTACAGATCGAAAATTTGAAATTAGTTTAGAATGATTTCGTTGAGTGATTTTCTATGTTATGTTAAAGATATTTTATCAATAATAGTATGAGAAATAAATCAAGGTCGTTAATCGCGATAAGCTTTGTGGAGGAGTAGAAATTCTGTAGGTCAAGGATATATATCCATATAATAATTTTCCAGTAATTCTCTAATTCCCTTCCACCGCCAAGAGTTATAAGCCTTCAAAAACAAAATACATTACAAAATACAGCGGATGCGTTATTGGAACAAAGGGAAGATCAAGAAGAACGCTTAAGAAAAAATTCTTTATCATTGTTAAGATTATCAAGATTATCATCGTCGTCTCACTCTCATTCTTTCTCTTGTTAATATTTTTCAAATACCATTCGTTTTTTAGTAAGGAAATCTTAGAGGCTTTTTTGAAGGGATAGAGAGAATTATTTCTATCTGCTCTTTCTCTTTCGGTCGCCATATAAAATACATTGAAAATAGAAAAGGAGAATAGCATGAAAGAGAGATATCACTAGTTATTTGTATAATCCAATAAGACTCGTCAATATATCTTTGCCTAATTTATCATGTACTTACGAATTAGGCAATAACTTGATTATATCTTCTATGCAACAGTACGAAAATCAGGACCAGTTGAAAATGTTTCTATTCCTTTTGACTTTATTTTTCTTTTACAACTCGATTAGGCGTAGATGAAAAGGATGTTACGTTATTTTTCATTGTTTAAGTATATATACTGTATGTATATATAGATCTGCAATTAAATGTATTGTAACCCACATAAATGTGATAATAGACCTTACGTACAAAGTATGTATTTTTAACTCGTGTATTACTCTGTATAGAAAGTTACTAGTTGACGTTAACTTCCCGGAAAGCGTAAAGGAGTTCCGACGACAATCCACGTTTCCAGGAAAAATAAATAATTAACATTTTCATTTCTGTGCTTTGACTAAAACTAAAATTTTGTTGGTTAATGTTACTAAACCATTGTTTATTTTATGACCCATCGATTTTATATAGAGAAATTATGTTTGTTATAATGTAGAGACTGTAAAGAAAAGCATTTACAATCACCCACGCTCTCCAATATTAAAGTAATATTTATATCCTTGGATATTACTATGTTGTAATGGACGTTATTATTAATACTCATAACGTGAACATATCTCTTGCAATCATTTATTTTAACTGTATATATACACATTAATTCGTACTAACCAACTGACTGTCTGCCTCTCTCTCTCTCTCTTTCTCAGCTGACCCTCACTCTTTCCGCTATATATATATATATAAATATATACAAGTATATATCATTCGTGTGCTTTTATACTTTCTTTCGCAGAGTGTTGCATAAAAAATTAGAAACGGTGGGGGATAAAATTAATCACCAGATGGCGATACTGAATAATGTAATTAAAACATCAATTAAAGGATGATATAAATTATTAAGGAAATTGTAGAGGATGGAATAATTTTTTTTTAAAAAAACAAGGAAAATAGAAAAAAAATTCCTCTTAATGCTAGATTATTGAAGGTTTACATTTTATTTTAAATAATCAATTTGTTTGAATAGTTTATTATGTTTCGCTAATGAAACTGAAAGAATCGAAGTTTTTTTAAAATTGATTTCGTCACTGTTTAACAATATTCGCCACTTTACCTTTTTATAGGCTCATGTGGATTCTATATGTCAGCGAAGGTAGTTAAATTTTAATTATACTAATATAAAATTGTACTGGAAGAAACAAATCTTCTCTCTCTCTCTCTCTCTCTCTCTCTCTCTCTCTGTCTATTTATCCAATGCATCATCCATCCATCTATCCTTCTTTCTTTCTTCATCTCTCTTTCATTTTCGCTCTTCTCCATCCCTCCATCTTTCCTCCCCTTACCTTCTAAAACACTTTCAAAACCTATCATTAAAATTGCAAGTCATCTATTTCCTTTTCTCTACTAGAAGAATTTTTTATGCTAATAACCTACTAGTTTGTAGAAGAAAGAAAGAAATATAAAAAATAGCATTGGTAAGCACTTTTAATGCAGTCTTTGTTTATTTTTGTAGTTAAAAAAGCAAAAATTGCTGTTAGGCGCCGATGAATGAACGATTTCAGTCATCAACAGACCACAGATGATTAAATTGATTTTATAAGAAAAGTTAAGTAGTATATTATTGAATAAATGAATGTAATGGCACATGTAAAAGTGTGTTTTTTATTACTTCTTTTGAATAAACAAAATATGACCCATTTTATTAGGGAAAAGAATTTTCCGTAGTTGAGGGATAATGATATGTAAATGTCTATAAAAAGCTTTTCGATCGCGCGCATTTTGGCTGAAAGCAGCGATGAATGCGAACGAAGTAATTCGTAAATTTCAAGAATATGACAAGGATAAAAACGGCTACGTTTCGGTTGGTGAAGCTCAACAGATTTTAGAAAAAGAATTAGGGTTTACTCCAGGTGAAATAACGCTTATTTTCCTATTCCTCGCCTTTTCATTGCGTTATATAGCTATTTCTCTTTCATTAAGAGAGCACTAGAAAATTAGTAGAGCAATACGACACTAATGACGATGGTCGTCTCTCTTATGAAGAATTTATTTGGTTCTATTGGCGTGTTCACGAAAAGTAAGTAGATTCTACTCGAAGGAATAGTTGTAATAATTCACCGGCTTCCTTCACAACTACGTCATTTGTAGAAAGAACGATCTAATCGAAAAATTTCAATTAATGGACAAAGATGGCTCCCAAAGTATAAGTTTTGATGAGGCAAAAGACGTTCTCAAAGATTATAATTTCTCTGACGATGATATAAGAAATCTCTTCAATTTACACGATACAAACAAGGATGGTGTTTTACAATTTGACGAATTTCTAAGATTTTGGCAAAATGTTGAAAAGAAATGAAATTAAAAAAACAAATTAATATAAAAAAGGAGCACGAATGCACAAAAACTGTATCATTTTCTTTTTATTTTATTACTCATTTCCAGTATTTCTTTGAACTCCTGCTTCTCTCCTTTTTTCATTCTTTTTATCAGTCTTAACGATTTCTTTTTTCCTCTCTTATAGTTTTTATATACAGTTTACGTATTAGTCTATTTCTTAGTCTATGGCACTGTTCAACTCTTAAGCACGCATTCGCACGCAAACACACGGGAATAGATGATTCGTGTTGAAAACATTAAGGAGAGAATCTTTTATCACTTTTATCAACTTTTTTCTTTATCTTTTCTTCTTCCTTAGACTTTAACGCAAGTTTTGTTCTACTCATAATCGTTATGATAACTATTCCCATAATAATAATAACTTCATTTATTTAATATTTAAGGTGACCTCATTCGGCAATCGACGGAAATTAATTAATTAATGCCAATTAAAAATTCATTTATTCCTTTCCTCTATAATTTACTTCTTTTCTAATTATTTTCCTTATTTTTTAAAGGAAGCCAATTGACTATTTCATTCAAATGTTTAAAATACAATTCTAATAAGCGTCGGAAGACGTGGATTAGTTTTCAATTATCTTTATCCGAACTAGGTGGAGTAACAGTTTACGATTTTTATACTTTTCTTCTTTCTCTTTTGGATCTCTTTTAAACCCGCTTCAGACGAGATGCGCCATCTACCGATTCTTATTCGTACTACTTTAAACACTTTTGGAAATTCTACAAAGTTGTTTTACAGAGATATTTGTTTGATTGGGGAAAAAGACAAAAGTAAAGTTTACTGATTTAGCAACGGGATCGTCGGAGGAGAGAAGGAGAAGGAAGAAAAAGAGTAAAAAGAATATTTGTGAAAAGTTTGAGGCAAAAGCTGCGAAGAAACACAGTATACTCGTTTCACGTATACAAATCGCTGTTAAAATAACAAACTCTTAACAGTTAAGAAATCAGTGCTGGGATCTGTAAAGCAAACATCTCCATAGCCATAGCTAGTTGAAATAATTGCAAGTCCTTGCAACTTTTCTATTCATTGCTAAGATAAGGAAAAATGTCAGATTGGAGACAGTTTTATTAAGGGATTTATTTATAGGTCATTCGAGTACCACATGAAGTTGATCGAAAGTATATATTTGTTACAAATATTTACTAAATTTCTCACTTGATCACGTGATATTTTTAAGATTTATATAATTCGATTTACCTGGTGTACAGTTCTACGCCTTGTTGACCTAACTCCAATATTCAAACATTTATTATTGACATCATAAGCGATATGTACAAAGTTAAATTGCAATTTCTTTCTTCTTTAGCAAAAAACCACTTTTAATAAATGTTTTTCATCTTTTCAACTTTTCCTTTACCCCATAAAGATGAAATAAGAAACATTTTTTTTCCTTTCTAGGCCTATAAACTATATTCTATAGATTATCCGTAAAAGTATATTCAAATTAAATTTCAATAAAGTGTTTTTCATTAAGTGTTTTTTCCAAAGTGTTCAATTAAATATATTGCCTCTTTTTACTTCTCTTTTTCCACTTCTACTATTAGTGATACTAGTATTACTATAAAATACTATATTCTTTATTTTACTATTTACCCACACTTCAAAATTCTCTCTCCTGCATCCCTCTCTCCCTCTTTTCTCTCATTCTGTCTAACTCTGCACTTACTCGCTCACTCGCTTTTCGACGCTTCTAACGACATCTAGACGAGAGTTGAGTATAGTCATAAAAGTGTGGGCCAAGCAACTTTGATAGACGTAGCTAGTTTACCACATTTTCAGCCGTCTCGAGTTAGAGGCCAGAAGAAGAACAATAGAGAAAGAGAGAAATACTGGAGAAAAGAAGAGAAGAAGACATTAAATAAATTCTTCCTTACGATTATTAAAAGATAAATTTACTTTTGAGTTTTTGTTTCGTTTTCGAAAAGAGAAAGAAAGAAGAAAAGAAGAGAAACACAGAAGGAATAACACTTTTAAAACTTTTTTCCTCACGAAAAAGCAGAAGAGAAGGAAAGGAGAAAGATTACGAAATTATTAGAGAAAAGGTTTGTAAGTAAAATTGTTAATAATTGAGAAAAAGGAATGGATAAATGATTAGAGAAATGCACGTTATGCATATCATAGCACATATCAATGTGTCTGTATAGGCTATCTATCTATCTTCGATCGTTTCTTATAGGCGAATGACAAATTGGGTATTTATTAGAAGAGAACAAAAAGCAATTACTGCACTGTATACACACTAAATAAAAAGCGTCTATAGGAAATTCTCTTACGTTATATTCTATTTGAATCAATCGCCTTTAAACTTCTTTATATTTTCTTCTAATGAATTTACGCTTGCACTCAAAATTCATTAGCATACAAAAATAATTCGATAGGCCTAAAGAGGAAATAATGGCCTGTCTTGTTCAATTTGGTTCCGATTGATGGAGTTGCAATAAATTTCTATATCATTTATATATGAGAGAAGCAGGTGAGGTCTTTTTCAGGTTATTTTAGCAATTGTTGGAAGTAAGTAGAATATTTTTATTACAAATATATAAATAATACGGAACAGATGCCACATATTCCAACATTACACGTTGCTTTTAAAATGTTTGTAAACAATTGTGAATGTGGACGTAAATGATCAACTTGTTAATTGAAAATAAAGGGTATATACTCTTGGCTGGAAGATGAACGGAAGTATCTTAGTGTAACATTAAAGCTAATTACCGGTATTTTTCATCAACATTACCACTTGTATAAGTAACAAACTAAATATTATTTCTAAGAGTCTTTCACTGGAAATTGAGCTTGTCAATTTGATTAAATTACAATCATTAGTTGACTTTAATTTATTCAATTTTTTAAGCAAATTAAAACTCATATTCAAATATTTTACGCTCTTTTAACTACTCTCTTGTTTATCGTATCCATTCTATCAACTTATTGGCAATTATCTGGGGTAAACTTATTCGGAAACTTGCTGATAATGAAATCAAATACATTCAGGTGGGGTAAGAGAGGAAGCAGGAAACGCGGAGCAATCTCTGCTCTAAATATAATTCTCTATTATAATGGAAAGCCGTATAAACACAACCCGGGACGACTGGGATAAGCGTTTGTCAAGGGAACTTTGGAAATATTTGGCACCAATTATCTTCTTCACAGGCATATAGATGAAAGAATTCTTAAGGAGTACGCTGTAATAATTAGGTCATACGAAAATAAACAATAAATAACAAATTGATAAAAGACGAGAAAAAATTAAAATTTATTCAAATTGAAAAGGGTGTTGAATCTAGGAAGAGTTAGAGAGTGAAAGAGCATCTTTTGAGAGTAATTTCTATCTTATACCTTTGAGAATATTGAGATAAGAAGTTGATTGAAAAAGATAAACATTAAAAAGATTACTTTTCTTTATTTTTCTTTCTCTTTCTTCGTTTTTAAAAAAGATATCTTCAATTAAAGTGTGGTGTAAATATTAAATAATTAAGGACAGAATAGGCGTTAATTATAAATACTGTATTGTTTTCCTTTTGTCTAGTTTAGATAGTAGTTTAATGTTATTCTTTAGCACAATAACCATAGTTATTATCTTATTTAAACAACTTAAGAATAGCATCGAATTCTTTAGGCTTCTCAACTTTTTATCTCTAGTTTTTTACATATATCTCTATATAATTATCACACCATTCCTTCTACGCTTTTCAATTATCATTTCTAAATTAATTATTTAGTTTCTATTGAGAAGAAAATACTCAAAAACAGGTTTTGTCTACAAACTTTGTCAGCTTAAGTTGAATGCATCCATTAGAATTTCAATTATTATACAGGTTATTCAGTGCATTTATTCCATGTAATTTCTATTTTGGAGCTACTTGGAAAGAGGGGAGAAAAGAGTAAAAAGAACAAGAAAAATATACTTGATGTAAACATTAAATAGGTCGAACAAATGATAAGCTCTAAAGGTTAAAAAACAATTTTTCTATAGATTCTAAATAATCCTTCACATATCTAAATTAAGCTGAAAGCACAGACTGTTTTACAATTAGAGCGTAATAATAATTATTAACATATTTACAATATTGAAATTACCTCTACATAAACTTTCATTCTATAGTCTTTCATATTTCGTATTAATGATATTTTCCTATTCAATTATACATGCAACAACTACGTACAAATCGGGCGTAGGAGGATAATTTTTATACGAAATTATCAACATTTTCAATCTCCTCCTTTTCTATCTATTAACAATATGTTCATTGGTATTTCTTATTAGAAAAACGTAGAAAATTTCTTGAACTAAGCAAATTCTTTTTTAGAATGTTTTCATTATTTTTCCCTATACGATTTCCTCCTTTTCTTATTTACTTCAAAGTATTAGGGGAATAAACAGGTTACTTAAAGAAATTTCTCTATTTCTCTTTTTCATTCTATCCCATTTCCCTTCTCTTTTCATTCTCATTTCAATTTTATTCAATTATTTATTAGAAAATGCCATCTTTTCTAATTCTTCGAACCCCCCCCCACGTCTTTCCCCTTTCTCCACCATTCTGTCCTCTCCCCTCTTTTTGTTTCAGTCTTTCTTTCTTTACTGTCCTGTATCTCATATCTTAACATTTTTCTTTAATTCCCTCACCCTCCTACAACATTCTTCCTTTACACAAGCTATAAAAAATATCTTTACAAATTACACTTCCTTATTCCAAGACAGCTTTAAAATAGATATATAGTTATTGTAGGCGAAATTGTATAAATTATTTAATGAGATGAAACAATAGAAAGTATCTTTAAAAATTCGTTCATCAAGGCCTAATCGGCAATACTATTATACTACTGGTAATGAGAAGGAAAAGAATGGGTCAAACTTCTACAAGTTTATACCTACGTTTTATTGCGACAGCCGATCTTTTGGTACTGTTTTTTGGTATTGTACCAGAATGGTTGGAAGCGTGTGCAATTGTTAGTTTCAAAAATCTACACTCCGTAACCTGCAAACTTGAAAAATTTTGCCATTATAGCGTAAATGATACAGCAACATGGTTTCTAGTCGCATTTACAATAGACAGGCCAGAGACGGAACCAGTTTGTTTAATAAAGAAACACAATAACAACAGCATATTCCTTTAATTAATTTATTAATTTCATAATACATGTTACATAATAGTTATTATGTAATTTTTTAAATTAAATAAAGTCTATCACATATTGATTTTTATTAAAAGTTTGTCATATTGATAAAATTATTGACAAAAATGAAGAAAGTACTACGAAGAAAGGAATAAAAGAACTTGTTCCTTCTCTGGTCTTAGGTTCCTTGCTGTTCGTTTTCCTTTCGACAAATCTACATTCGGCAGCGCCAGAAGAATTAAGACTGTATGCATGAGTGTGTTAATAATTTCACTTTTGAAAAATGTTGAAGTTTTTTGGACAAGGGGTCTACAAATTGACTGGGACGAGAAATCTAACAAGACAATCATCAAAACTTGCGGTAATCCTACTCCGAGAATTTCGGAATATAACAAAAAAGTTCGACCCTACTTTGTATTTGTCGTCGCTGTCATCCTACCACTTCTTATCATTGCTACGTGTAATTTGTTAATCGTTTGGACGCTAAAAACTGTCAAGTAAGCAATTTTTTTTCCAAAAAAAAAGGGAAAAATTAACGCCATCTTCAGTTAAAAAAGTAGTCATAATTTATCACTTCGTGTTCTTCTATCTACTTTATCTATTTCATTGAATAATATTTTTTCTACCTCTTTCTCTTCTTTCCTTACAGGCATAAGGCTCCCGCGCAACAGTCCATAAGTAATCATAGGACCCGCATCATGACACAAATGACTCTTATGTGTATTAGCGTCTCTGTAGCATTCATAATATGCATGACTCCTACTTTTATCATGTATATTGGAAAGCAGTATTGGCTAAAGGACAAGGGATATGAGATAGCCAAAGCCGTTTCTAATCAGATACTCTACATAAACAATTCTATAAATTTCTTTCTCTACCTCGCCTCTGGAACAAAATTTCGACGAGAGGCTCTTATCCTGTTTGGTCGACGCCGGCCAATAGAAACCTTTAGATATCCTATGAACACTCAGCAATTTACATATGCTCCCTTCAGGCAAACTCTCGTTATGTCGGCAACTTGTCGATTCGATTAGAAATTGAACAAAAAAAGTAAAAGAATATGAAAAACAACGACGAATTGTATTAAACAGTCTGAGGAAATTTTCTAGTTTTTTCGTTCTTTCTTAAAAAACAGACGAAAGAAGCTGAAACGCCAGGAATTTAATTTATTTATTTTATTCATCTTTTCCTCTCTTAATTGACTTTTTTTTGTTTATAAAGAGAAAAAAAGGGGAAATGTTATTCTTTTTTATATAGAAAATTATACACACAAAGAAAAAACACAGAGAAACTTTCACTTAAATGCAAAATTGCAGAACAATGTTCGATTAAAAACAAAAAAAAAAGTTGATTTCATTCGGCCATTAGTCAACTATTGTGTAAATTACTACTCTCACAGGGATGCTAATGTGTATTATGACTTTAATGATGCTTATAGCATTGATTTTTTTCTACTCAAAAACAAATACTTTCGCTCTAATTCGTATAAAGAACAGTTCTATTTTTTGACATTTCATCCACTCAGAGGAATAGTTCAAATTTATCTTGTGAAAACTTTTACAACGCCATCGTCATCATCAGCAACAACGTCGCTCTTCTTCCTCTTCTCCTCCTTCTTCTTCCTCTTCTTCTCCTACTTCTCCTTCTTCTTCGCCTTCTTCAATTTCTCCTACTACTACTTCTTCTCCCTCTACTACAGTTTACTTCAACTTTGTTAACTTTAAAGCTCATATCTAGTCAAGATTGAGGAAATAACTTTTAAGAAATTACTTTCAATTATATAAAACCATTGCAAGTCTTTATTCTACAGCTTATGGGCCATCTACGGACTTATCTTTAACAATTAAAAACAGGATGCTCACGCCATCTTTCTGGAAGATTGATCCACAAACTATTCTTGCTATAAAATAATATTTAGGAAGTAATATATTTTTTTTAGGAGATTTAAATGCAAATAATTCAATTATTTATAAAAAAAAAGAAAATAAGAAAATAACCTACTTAAATATTATTAATGTTTATAGTTTTAGATTGAATATGAATTTGAAATATACCGCCATCTAGTTGACTATTTCTTATATTATTATAAATTTATCTATCTGTTTCTCTATCTATCTAGCCATCTATCTATCTATCTATCTACCCATCTACCCATCTCTCCATCTATCTTTACTATATACTCTATATACGATATACTCTATCCTGGGTCCTTAGTTTCGTCTTCTCTTTACTTATATCTTATTTTCTTTGTAAACGATCTGACATAAATAAATTATATAAACAAACGTTCTCTTCTTTTTCATTAATCTCTTCCTTTTCTTCATTTGCATTTTGGCATATATAACACTTCTCCATCCATCATTTTACAGGTCAATTCTTTTAGCCTACTCATTCACGTCCCTTTCCCAGCCTTTACAAAATTTTCTTGGCATATCCGTTAACCCTACCATTTATCATTCATCTTCAATACATTTTCAAAAGGCTACAAAGTAGTAAAATACAAATTCTCCTAGCTTCTTAAGCCTAAATTTCTTTCTCACTCTCTTCTTTGAACTTTGACTTTCAACCTTTTCTTTCTAAGTAAGTTAGATTTGGCATTGCGTTATGGTAGGAAATTAAGTAGATTGCTTAACATAACACTTTTTGATAAAGTCTAATTGAGTTCACAATCACTTTGCACTAAAAGAAGCAGAAGAAGAAGAAGAAGAAGAAGCATAGTAGAGAACTTTTCCTCTTGTTTTGATTTTAAAAACAAATACAATCCTGAGAATTCTAATCTCTTTCTATCGACTTTTTTGCATACCTATTAGCTCATTTTAACTAAAAGTATTAACTTTCCTTAGTACAACTGAAGGGGAAAAGCCTACTAAAACTTGTTAAATACTCAATAGTATTTCGCAAACTTGACACTAGATGACACTAGCTTTGAACAACGTTTTATATAGAAAATAAAAATGGCTGATGAAAATAAACAAACTATACTAATCAAAGATGGAAGATTTTGGGAGATAAGCATAATTGGCAACAAAACCCAAATAAGAAGTAATAATTCAAGATTATTAATCAATGCATTGATTTATTAAATTTTCAATAATCATGAATATCAATTATAAAATATGCTAAAAACCTCTTTCCCTATCACATTCTCTTTAGCTGGTAAATTAGGTTGTAAAGGTCGAAAATATCCAGAAAAGCTTCACAAGACAAACGAGGAGAGAGATAAATTTATCAGGTTAGAAATAGATAGTAGATTGATGAGCGGTTTCGAGGAACCACCGGAAGTTATAGAGCCTCCTCCACAACTGGATCAGATGTTTTCACCGGTAAAAAAGCGGCCAAGTATCAGGTTGAGTAGAAGAAATACATCTTTACTACCTCAAAAGATGCCTAGTCTTAAGTGGGTTCTCAATACACAATATATATATTTATTCGTCAGATTGCTATACTTGTAAAAGAATTGTTTTCTAGACGAGCAGCAACGTTAAAAAGAGTATCATCGAGAAAGAAGACTCCCTACGAAAAGAGATGGAAGAAACCGCCAAAGAAGAGGTCTACATTTAGAAGAAATGCGGTTAATGAAAATCTAAGCTAGTTATATTAAGAAATAATGAAATGGAACTAATTTGGAGATAATGAATAGTCTCTTATATTATTAGTTTTGCGTGTGGCATCTGTTGGAGTTGAGGAGAGAAGGGAAAACTAGAGAGGAAGAGAGGGAGGAGGGTTGAGAGGGATAAAGCAAAGTCTCTTTCTCTCTCGCGGCCCCCTCTTGCATGTATACTTGTGCTGACGTAAAATTCACTGAATAAAAAATGAAAAATATAAAAAACGCTTTAAACGTTTGCGCCAAAAATTCAAGCGACGCCTCATAGACAGGTGTGAGGGAAGAAAAAACAAGACGCCAATAAAATGTAAATATTTGCTATAGAAGAACGCTTTCCTAGTCAAAGCTACCTATACGTATATATAGAAGAGACATATATATATATAAGGCGAAAGATTATCAGATGAAAATTGCTACAAAAACCTTTCACCTGCCTAATTATAATAGAAAGTTAGAGGATTAAATTTAACTTGTTATAGGCCTATAAGCATTTTTAGTTCATAAAAAAAAACCAACTCTTTTTCTATAAAGGAAGGAAAAGAGGAGAGCAAGACAGAAAGAGAGAGGAAAAGAAGAAAAGCTTAGAAAAGTTGTCTATATAAAAAACTAGGTGGTTTTTTTAAGAATATTTAGTTTGATATAAATTGAAATTAAGAATAAAAAATCTTATTTATTGAAAATAGATAAGTTAATTGGAGAAAATATAATTTTATAGCCTCTTTTTATCCTTAGGCGTGACCACGTGGTACTATCATGTGACGTGAATATATTAACGAGTGGCGCGCTGGTCAAACGACGGTTAGAAACGCTCTCTTTGTTCGCCCGACAGCCGAAAGTAAAATCGTTGAATTTCTTACCTGAAAATTATCATCTCGTCTATTAAAATGGGTTAGTGATGTTAAATATATTAATCATTTGTAATTTAATGTAAATACGTTCAAGATTCGTTCTGTATAAGAAATATATAGAATGTATATAGTATAGTATAAGAGCTATATAGCTTCCCTATATACAGCATATATTAGGCGCCATTTTTACCCTACTTGCATAAACAAAATCACAGTTTCGATTTTTTTCTAGCCTTTTTTCCACAGAGTAGTCTTACCAAATCGTCTTATAAGCCTATTCCTTTTATTTAATTATCTTTTTCAATCGTTTCTTTACCAGTAAAATACTTTTTTTCCATTTTAACTATTGTATATACTTAAAAATACGCGCCATTTTTTCAAGCGACGCTCTCGACCTAATGACCTCTTTTTTTCTATTCAATCTTCTAACTAATCTAATTCTTACCTTTAGATTTTCTAATTTGGTTTTGATTTGAAATAGATTTAATATGACAAATACAATTCGACGCCTTTTTTTTTAAAACAAGTTAACCGTCTCTTTTTTCTTGTTGACGGTTAATAAAACAGCACCCGGTTTTTATTATTACTGTTGTTATCATCAAGATTTACGACCGTAGTTGCTGCCGTTACTTTTAGACAAAAAAGTAATCAACGCTTCCTCCTCTTGTTTCACAAGCGTCATTTTACAAATCTTTCGCCGCAGCCCACCCCCATCCCCTCCCTCTATCCTCTACTTTCTTGTTATATAAAAAAAATACCTATGTTACCTAACCGACTTCATTTTTCTTCCATAGGACGACCTAAAGGAGCTGGAAGAACGGCGAGAGAAAAAGACCCAAACAAACCGAAGAGGCCTACCTCGGCTTACTTTTATTTCGCCCAATATAAACGCGAAGAATTAGCTAGACAAGGAAAGAGTATTACGCGTGTTGCCGATTTTACAAAGGAAGTTTCAGCTGAATGGAAGACTCTGTCGACAGCGGCAAGGAAACCTTTTGAGGACAAAGCGAAAATCGATAAGGAGCGATACAGCAGCGAAATGTCCAATTATAAAGGAAGGAAAACGACGAAAGATCCCAGTAAACCGAAGCGACCTTGTTCCGCCTACTTTATCTTTTTAGCCGAATTTAGAGTTGAAAACAAGTCGAAATATTCCGAGCATAAGGACTTAATCAAGGCTGCTGGAGCAGCTTGGCAAGACATGTCCGACGTTGAGAAGAAACCCTATGAGAAGAAGGCTGAGGAAGAGAAAAAAAAGTACAACGAAGCTATGGCCACCTACAATAAGGTATGTATAAAGGGAGATTTTAATTTATAAATTTATTTGATCTTTTTGAAAAATAGGGAGCCGCAGCTGGACCATCAGCAAAGAAAGCTAAAACCGATAATTCTAACGGCCGAGTGGAGGAAGACGATGATGATGATGATGATTTGGATGATGAGGAAGATGATGATTAGATACCTTGTTTTTTCTTTTTGTATAAGAAGTATATAAAGTTTCAAAATGTATAAAACTATATAGTAGACTTGTACGAGTTAGTATTGTTATACAGTATACTTATGTATATGTATACGCATATATATATACAGTATACATGGTTCACATGATGAATTCTATATATACTGTATATACTGTATATATATATTTATATATATGTATTTGTACAGTATATACATTTATAATTATTTGTATAAATATATATTTATATATAGATATATGTGTGTATGTATATATATATATATACTTATATCCATACAAGTATATGTATACACACTCACACATATACATATATATATATATATATATTTATATGTTTATGTATAGCTTTAAAGAAAACATGTATTATTTATTGCTCAGTAAATAGAAAAGTGTTTCTTTGTAAACGTAGCAAAAGTAACTTTGTTCTTTTTATATGACAATTCAATAGTTCAGTTATGTTTTAAAAAAATTCGCTACTCTTCGAAACGATAGGCGTGAGCACCACCAAGGAAAACGGCGTCCATCCAAACTGCTCGGAGTTGGGAAGATGCTGCGCAAAGTGTCAGTGTTCTTCTTTTAGTTCTTACGCAAAATGCACTTCCAGGTGAGCTTTGACCTGGTTCGCATCTCACATAGACTTCTTCTATTAAATCAAAGCTGATAGAATTTCTAGGAGACGATAATAAACTTCTTGGACGAGAACTGTAATAAGCTAATCTCTTCTTATTCCTGTCTAAGACGAACCAGCGTTTCTGCCACCGTCTGGGTCTGCTCTCGGAAAGTTTATACAGCCAGCCTTGGCAGGATGTTTTGTTGACGCAAATGGCCAAGTCGGCGGATAAACCATGACCGGAAGTCTCTAAGTGGTAACGTAAATCGAATTGTTCACCATCTGGGACGGGTAGATATCTCGTTAATGGACGATTTTGTTTTTCCTCTATTATCTTCAAAGGTTTATTCTCATCATATTTCTTAATGAGAAATTTTGGAGAATATTTACAATTGGATTCTTTATTCTTGCTTAATTCAATGCTAACTTTCTTGGTAGATTTTTCAACTTTCTACAGAGATTATCAGTAGTTTAATGGGAATAGTTTTTAATTTGTAGCGACTTTACCTGATTAGGAGAGCTTTTAACAGTTTTATATAAATTTTCACTGTCACTCATAAGAAATATTTCTCCATTGCCATTACTCGATTCTTCACTTTCGGTCGTTGTCTTCTTTAATGCACCTTTAAGATTTTCTTTCTGTTTGTTTGTTATTTGTACAGTAGTTATACAATCTCTTCTCTCTCTATATCTCTCTCTCCCTTTCTCTTGAAAATTTACAATTTTTACCTGATTTAACTGATTCTCTGAATCGGTATTACTTGTATTGCAGTTTTTGATATCTTGTAAGTTTTGATTATTAGTCATTTCTTGTTCGTAAGAGAAAACTTCGTCGTAATCGTGTTCATCGGTTATATATGAAATCTCGGCCTTTCCATTATTACCGTTCAGCTGAAAAACAAAATACAAAACATGTTTTTTAAAGGATAAGAGATTTTAATGATATAAAATTAATTAGTATTACGCGGTACTCTTCAAACATATGGACTATTTCGTCTAGGCGTTGTTGCTCTTTAGTATGTAATTCTTCATCCTTTTTCCTTAACTCTCTTTGCTCTTTCATTTTGAGAATAAGCGATTCTTGCGAAGAGGTTACAGAGCTAATTTCAGAAAATATCGAATCGTGATTTCCGTTGGTATATGAGTTTTCCTCTTTCTTCGGTTTAGCATCTGCTGGAAATGCACAAGAATCATTTTCATTCCATTTTTCAAGAAATATAGTACACATCTTTGTTTTACGAATAAACATATCGGATTAGTTTAAATATATTTACATAGTATTGTTATGCTCTATTAGTTCATAAACAAGGCAATACAACTATTTGTTTTTTTCTTTTTTTCAATTAACCTACCTGGAATGTTCTTATCTAAATGAGCGCTAAATTCTTGCAGTTCTTTTAGAACTTTATCCAGTTCCAATACGTCGTCGTCTACTTGCGGTGGTGGTGGTGGTGGTTTCTTTTTTACTGTCGTCTCGTAGTAGATATTTGGCGGTGGAAGATTGGCTGGCCTCGGAATTGTTGGCGGTGGCGCTGCCCTCACAGTTTTAGGACATCTTCCAGGAGAACTACGGCTCGAAAAATTTTCAAATCTTGTTATTTTAGATGCTATAGAAGCGCCCTCTAACGAGTCCCTATATCTGTCTAAGGCGCCCTCCGATAAATTGCAGAACGCTCCATCTGTCGATGCAGAACTTGCTTCGAAATCTCCTGCAATTAAATAAACGTTCCTAGAGGCATGTTGATTGTCAAAAGATAGAAATCTAGGAAAACCTTTAACTTTTGTAGATTTTAAAAAGGGAATCACTTAGGGAAGATATCTAAACTCAATTGATAATTTATATAAATTAATTGTATGTTTCCCCTTTGAAGAATTAGAAGCAAAGAATTGATGCCAACAGAATAAAGGGATATAGTATTATACTATTAGTATATACTCAGTATCAATATACTTTCAAGAAAAACTGTCTCTTATTCAATATACCAATATGGTTCTTTTTTTTACTTTTAATGTCAATACATTCAAACAGTTATTTGAGTTATTCCTGTAGCTTTTTATACAATATATACAGTATATATACAATATATACCTTATTATTATTACTATTATCGATATTCAGAAAGTTCTTTCAAGGAAAAACGAAACTTAATACAAAGCATTCCGTGTTTTTTCAACGGAATATTTAATTAAAGAGGCCTAAATACACATACACACACATACACACACATCAAATGCACGTTCAAAAGCACATACTGTAAATACACAAATAGGTCCGGGGAAAGTGAAAAATAAAAGAAGAATAAAGAAAAGAAAAAGAACTTTGAACGCAAGTTTGCAATAAAATTAATCACGTGACTATACGCATCTGTGAATTATTGTTCTTATCTTATTATAAAAATACTAATAGGCTATGATTTTCAATTAAAAGTTAATAATCTAGATTAAACTAAACTAAAAAGAAAATTGTTCAATATTCGATCCAGTTACAATTGTTTGTTAAGAGTTTTTCAGTTAAAGTATAACAAAAACATCTTAACTTGATCTGTCTTATACGGACCACCACCTTAAAACTGTCTAGTAGCCATTTTCTATTTCCTCTTTCTCTTTGCATTTGTTTTTGTTTTCCCTTAACAAAAATAAATGAGTAATGTCAAAAACGTTCGTTATTTTCTATTCTTTTTCTGTGTATCATCAACCAAATTTGTAGAGCAAATAAGAAGAATAGATAAATTAGAGAAGAGAGAGAGAGAGAGAGAGAGATGAAAAATAAAACATAAAAAAAAGAAGAGAGAGAGAATATAGAAAGTTTATAGTATAGTATTATTTTCACTTTGTACTCAGTTTTTTTTAAACAATTCCAAACACTGTAAGAAAAGGCGGGACGCTAAAAAAAATAAGTTGAGTAATATTACCAGAATTTGTAAATTTTCCCATCCTTAGTACAATCAAAACTCTTTCGTACTCTTAAAAGAAGAGAGCGGAGAAGAGAAACGGATGAGGAGGGATAAAGCAAAACTACTGAAGAGAGTATATTGGTTTTTTTCTTTCTTTCTTTACTCTCCTACGGCGTTCAAAGACTAAAGTTTAAAATGACAATACGGTTTATCCAAAAGAAGAAATGGCTTAGAAATGATGATTGAAATGAAATATTTACCAAAACCTTTCACCCTTTCTCACGTAAACATTGCTATTTGTTTATTTAAGATTTTGCGTGTCAATCTTAAAATAGGTCGATAAAGGTGGACAATGTATGATACGGCGTTGCTTTGGGAATCCACCACAAATCTTATCTTTTATCTGTCACTTTCTCTTTTTTTTGTTTATCCGCCTTAGAAATTTTGCTCTTACAATCCTCGTTGCATTATTACTATATCCGTCTGTTCAAGGTTTCTTCAACAAGCATCAAAGAGAAAATGGTAACCTACCTCTCATATACATGTCCCACTCTCTCTAAAACTTGACAAACTATCGTACTTCGGGGCGTATATAAGCAGAATGGCTCGCAGCTGCACTGACGGGAGCGCGAGCGAGAAATAAAAACAATAGTTGATGGTCACGTGATTCCCATGGATTAGTTATAGGTTTTTTAACTAGCGTTTTGTAGGATAAAAGGATATATGGAAATTCTTTTGGTGTTATTTTTTTAAAGCGTGAGAAATCCTAAATAGAAAATTGAAAGAGTGAAAAAAGGTAAAAAAAATACCAACGATCCATCCCTTTAGGTGTTATTCGAATTTTTTAAGGCTAAAATTCTAAAAAGAGCACCTTTCTACGCATAAATTTTAAGGAATATATAAAGCAAACTCGATGAAATATTCGGTACTGAAAGAATAATTAGGACTTGAACCATCTGTTAAACCTATTTTCAAATAAAAATTCAATTATACTGTATATTCAGTATTTGAACAGATAGAATCTTATACAGACAGAAGAGATATAATAAAAAAAATAGGCCTTTTAAAGAGAGAGAAGACTTTAAGAGAAAGTAACAACGAACGATTATCTTTAGTTGTTTCTGCTCAAACTACGATATTATATAATCGATTCTTTTTCTCTTTTTTTTTGACATGACACATTCATTTAAGTGTGAAAGTGCACGTGTTTGAGAGTTGACGAGAAGCTCATTTACTACTCGACCTTGAATTTTCAAGAGATGACAGATTTAATAAACAAAAATGAATGAATCCAGAAATTGGGCAGATCGTAATTAAATCCTCGTGTTATCGAATGCTTTAATATAATATAAAGTATATATATCTATATATATATATATATATATGTAAGTATCATGTAAAAGACAATAGATTAAAATACTCTTAAGAGATACTTAAGAACTTTCAACCGAAGAAGAGGAAGTACAAGAACAATAGTGGTTCAGTTAATGTTCGTAGATTGCTTTCTTTTGATTTTATGGAAATTTATTATTTATTGTAGAATTTATAAAGAAAATTGAAAACAGAAAGAGAAAGAGAAAGAGGGAGATAGATAGATAGAGATATGTAGAGAGAGAGAGAGAGAGAGAGAGATAGTTTTTTACTTTAGTTTAAAGTTGAAATTTTTCCTCTACTCTCTTCGCCATTTTTTTTGTATACTTTAGCTTTGTAAGGTTCATTGAGCTTGTTGAGCTTGTTTAGAATAACATAAATAGAAAAGGTAGCAATTAGTATATTTTATTATAAACTTGTTTTAAGTATTTATTTTACAAAATATTGTTTTTTCTCCTTATCAAAAGTGATAAACAGAGGAAAAGGGAAATTATTCTTTTTCTTTTTAACCCTGTCTAAAAGTTTAAATATCAAAGCATCTCTCCTCTTTTTTTCCTTCTTTTGCCTGTATTTTTATTTCTAAGACGATAAGGATTTGTCTATTTTATGCTGGAAAGTTAATTTTCATTTACGAAACGGTAAATTTAACTGAATAGATTAACGGTTAGATTGAAAAGAGGGTATAGCATAAAATACCTCACCGTAATCGCTCAGTGATAAAGCTTTTCTTGGTCTATCGATATCCGAAAATGTAGTACTCCATGATCTATCCACCCATATACTTGTCGGCCTAGATCTTCCCAAACGACTATAAATTTCACTCTGTTTTCCCAAGCATAATCCGCAACCTGTATGTATATATGCTACAGATTAATTCCAGAAAATGTATACTGTAAAAATTCTGCAAAATCCATTTATGCAATCATGCTGCTCAAGGGCTACAGTGTAGACGTATAGAATTTCGAAGAAAAAGTGGAACAGAGATAAACGAAATGTTGATATAAGTTTAAAGAAAGCAAATTCTCAAACCTTTCAGGACGTTCATAGTACATATAACTCGAAACTCTCTACTACGCTGAGTATAACTGTACCGACTGCAAAACATGCCGCCTGTTTGTATATATTGTATATATACTGTATATTTGTTAATATTACTTACGGAAATTGCCTACATTATTAGTTGTGTTTCATAGGAAATTATCACCATCTTTTCCTATTTGCTTCTTCCTCCTTTGCTTCTTTACCTTAATTATATCAACTTGGGTGGTCATCCATTTCTCTATTTATCTTGAACCGCCCTTAAAGTGCCTTTCCGTAAATACTATAGATGGCGTACACGCGTGGGTTCAATTTTACTTTTCTCGCTAGGTGGATGTTTTTTCTATCTTTGAAAAGAGTAGTGTTTAATATGTCTAAAGTATATACAGTATATATATATATACAAGTACACCGATAACATTATATCAATACGTTAATAGAGTACTATCTGAAAACGGAATGAAGCAAAAAAAAGCTTCACATCAATCGGAATGTTAAAAAAAGAAAAAATAAAAAGAGGGAAAAATCCTTTTTAAATTTATAATTTACAATGTCAGACCCTTATTTTCCCATTTCCCCAGCCTCTTCATTAAATATAAAAAGAACACTTAATAAAAACGTAAAAGTAATAGTAATTGATTTATTTCTATCAAACTAGATTATGTTACTTTTTCTAATTCAACAATCAATTCAAATGTATGTGATTGTAAGGTATATATATATATATTATATACAGTATATACAGAATATATATATATATATATATATTTATATTCATACTTTGTATTTACTTCTAATTAACCATTTTTCAAATAAGAAAATCTAATTTATTTATTCGCCAACATTCGTTTAAATACGCACATACAAAAAAAAAACCATTCTCTCTTCGTATTATTCTTCTCTTTACTTGTTTTCCCTAGCTGATGTCATCGAAGCGGATCTGTTTTTTTTTCCCTCCCGAATTAAAATCAATATTTCACGATTGAACGCCTCTAAGTAAGAGAATTAAGGATAAATTCCTATATACAAAAGATTTTCGATAGTTCCATTCTCCCACCTAGCTAGTCTTTCAATTTGCTATCTATTAGATAGTAGAAAGTTTATCAAATAAGAAAAAAGGGGGAAAAAGAGATTTACAATGATACGAGAGAGAATGAGAATAGGAATGAAAATGAGACAGAGAGAGAGAGAGGGCGAAAGGGGCTTGGGGAGGGGTGAGGACAGACAGAGAGAAAGGGAAAGAACTAAGTGCTCTGAGTGTGCTTGTCTATATATGCGTACTGTATACATGATGTATGTACCGTATACAGTATATATTTCATATATACTTCTTTATAGGTAGGACATAGAACGTGTATATATTCTCGTTTATTTGTACTCGTACGTTAACTTACTTTGTTAATATTTGTGATGGAAGAGAAAGAGAGTGGGAAGAAGACGGGTATTTAAGGGTAATAATAACAAAAAGAAGAAAGAGAGAAAAGAGGTATAAGAAACCTACTCTTTTATTTTCTAAAGAGAGATGAGCAAATAAAAGCAATATCTTCTAATTAATAATTGTAACCTATGCATTGTTGGAGTTGGGACAAAGTGATTTTATAGAGTGTTTTACAAGGGATAAGCTAAATAGTAAAAGATGACATTTAATAGTTTTTGTTTAACTTTAATTGCTTTTAATCCAGGAAAAGAATTGACAAATAATAATTTTTATTCATTTTTTATTATTTTCAATAGGATAAGAGACAATGTATTGGAGTAAAGGAGAAACCCCAGAATTATCTAAATACCCTGGCGAATACAAACGGAAAGTTTAGAAAGCACAATCGACCAGTAATTAGTAAACATTTCATTGTCCGTCATTGCCGTAGTTTGTCATTGTATTTCCAATATAATTTAGAATTGCATTACGTTAGAACATTGCAATAAAGAAAAATATATTTTCCTACTCTTTTTTCATACATTGTTTCTTTCCAAATCGGACTTTTTAGTCTTATTCCTATTCCCTTGAATATTTTTTAACCTATTCAACTTGTGTAGCTAGCTATTGTTTTCCCATATTGGCCATTTTTTTTAATACTTTTTCATTCCTAATAATTGAAGGATTTGAGAAGATGATAACAAAATCAAAGAGATTCATTTAGTTTCCCGCGAAAAGAGATTTGGCAAATTTCTTGTTCATTCCTTTATAAATATCCTTTACAAGCTGTTGTATTTAAACTCTCTTGGGACACCTTCCCTCCTCCTCCTCCCCCCCAAAATCCTATATATTCTGACCGATTACAAACGGGCTCTCTTTTTATAGCCTCTCTATTTATTTCTTTTAATCTTAATCTGCTTTTTCTCTATTTCCGTCCCTTTCCGTCACTCTCTTTACAAGGTAAATTAATTACTTGACTAATTAATCTTTGTTTTTTATTATATCAGACAAAGAAGGTATAAGGGTAGAATATTTAGACATAATTTGTATGTATCGTTACTTTCTAGAGAAGGTACTCGAAGCTTTTAGTCCACTTGTTTCATAAATCGTTTAAAACTTAATTAAGCATTAAAAAGCTGACTAATGGGGAGTACATGTATAAGCTTTTTGTAAATATATACTATGAAATATTAGTATTGCATGATAGTATATTCAAATAATTAATATTATAAACTTAATAATTAGATATAAAATTTCCAGAAAGATATTCTCTTTTATTCGATCAAAATTTTTCTAATGATTTCTTTTTTATAAAGATTTTTTGTTGATAATTTATTTTTACTTGTCAGTTCGGGGTTCACACCAATTCCACAAACAGCACAAGTCCGAAATATCAAAGCAGTTCGTTCCTGGAAAAAGAAAAAACTTTTACTTTTTAGAAATCAACTATTTATAGCAAAAGTTTGAAATGGACAAGGAAAAGCTCTGCTCTGGTTGATAAAATAAGTCGTATAGGAAAGAATAGATGGTTTCATGACTCAATGATTGAACTATGGAGTGATTAGGTGAATGGAATAACTCATTCTGAAGACTCTTTTTTTAAGATTACTAATATCATTTTTATCAATTTCTGTTTCTCTTCTGTCCTCTCCTCTCCTCCCTTCCTCCCTTCTCGCACGCTTCCCATCTCTTTCTTTTCCCATCACCAACGTAAACTTAATAATTGTAAATGTTAATTTGGCAAAGGTGTTGAAAAATGAAAAAAAGAGCGCATACAAAAAAGAAGAAGAAGAATGAGAGTTGAGGAGAGGGAGAAGAAGAAGAAAAAGAAGAAGAAGAAAAGAAGGAAAATTTCTGGTTTTGAAGTTCCATAAATCTATCTTAGGCATTGTTTTTTTTCCAGTGTGAGGTAGAAAATAAAAAATTCGATTTAGTCCGGAAAAGTGAAGCAAATTAACGTTTGAGATTCTTATTGATCAATCAACGTGTGAAAAGAAATCATAAAAAAAAATGGTTACAAGACCGGAAAAAGGGATAGTGTTCTCTTTTTTTTCATGTATCATATAAATAGCTTTTAGTAATGCTTACGTTTTCTCCGATGTTCCATTCTCATTTTTGACATAAGGTCTCGATATTGCCGGGTAAAACTGTCTAGGGAAGCTAGTCTATTGAGAGAGCTTCGTGACAGATCATACGTGCTTTTGTCCCGAAAATCTGGATCCTTAAGAGAATCCACTAGCAAATTTATCTGAAAGAAAGAAAATCACAATTGGATTATTCCCGCCTCTTTTAAGATCATTAAGAGAAGATGAATGGATCTTGACTAATTGTTTCTATGTAATTTTCTTTCAGATTACCATATTCGTTCAATATTATCTTTATAGGCCTATAAAATTCTACAATTTCCAATTCACAGATAAGATTCATATGACACTTAATTTAGCGATCCGCAAAATTGTCTTGCAAACCATTTTAATGTTTATTTTATCGAAATCACGCGGGGATATTCCTCATTTAAGTAGTCTATAGACGTACTTTAACATTGGAAAAATATTAGGGTCTGTTTTTTTTCTTTTTGTTAAGTTTATCTAAAAGAGTGACGTCCCATCATCCATTTTCTCTTTACAATTCAGACACATTCCTTTGGTTTAGCGTTACTTTTTAAAGAAATGAACCAGTTCAACTGCTTTTCTTATAGAATTTCTTTTTATTTGTCACATACTCGTAAGAGTTTATCAAGAAAAGGGAAAAGAAGAAAAGGAATAGTTAGAGATATAAAATGAAAGAGTAGGAGAGAGAGATGAAGAGAAAAAAGACTGAATAATTGTAATAAAGATAATAAAGTAGGAAAGAGATAGATAGATAGATAGATAGATAGAGAGGGCGACAGAATGTAATATGGGCAGGAAAAATAAAGTACGAGATAAATATAGATAACAAATACATGACTTAACAATAAAGAAAAAAGCAGAAGGGATAAAGTTGATTAAAAATAAAAAATAATTATGCTGATAGGAGGTGGGTAATGCTAAATAAAAATTTAACAAAAGCTAAATATTCATTAAAGGGATACAATGTAAAAATAATTATTGTAATGCAGAAAAAGAAAAGATAACGATGATGATGACGACAACGACGACGACGATGATGATGAAGGCCACAAAGTTTTAGGAAACTATGTTAATAGTAGAGAGTGTTGAGTAGAAATAATAAAAAGAAAACAGCGTTTTTATGATAAAAAAAGGAACTTAAAAGTTTCATCCGGTTTCGAACGATGTATGAATAAGCAATTAATTGAATCACGGTTAAATAAGAACGTAACTAACTCATAATCGCCTTAATTGTATCATAAAAAAACAAGCTTTATTCACTAAAAAATAGATATGGGATTATTCTATTTTTTCATTGTTATTTCTATAAGATAAGGAAAGAAAGAACGAAATAAAGAAAGAAAGAAAGAAAGAGAGAGAGAGAGAATGGGAGAGAAATAGAAAAAATTCAGAAAGAAAACTATACATACAAAAAAAAAGAAATAGAGTGATAATATAGGAAATAGTAATTCATAAAATAGAAATAAATATACAAACATCGTCTGATCCTAGAATGTAATCCGAAGAAATAAATATAAATACAAGACAAAAGAAGAGGCAAGTTCGAGCTGAAGCCATGCCGTCTCGTTTGGAAATATCGGAGAACGTATGGAAAGAGCAATTCTCATGCATATTCATTAACTATTCATTTTTTTTCTTGCTCATTCGTCGCCTGTGACGATGCCTCTATCACTTGTTTACTCGACATTGTTTCTCTTCTCTTATTAACGTGATGCCATTTCTTTTGAATAGTTAATAAT